AATAGAGAGAGGGCGATTTGAGGGCATTCTTGGAGTGGAATTGGAGGATTTCTTCTCCTTGGAAGCTCGAGGAACAAACCCGGACTTGAAGACTGATCATCTGAAGATTCTTACTGCAGTCTCTCTCTTCTCTATGGAGTAACTTCCCTTCACTTAGGTTTTGAGGAACCCTAGCTATGTTTATTTGATTGGATGATTGTATGAGTACTCTGACTTGATAATCTTGAGTTCATATTCAATCTATGCATATTTTCATGATTCAATTCTGCTTTAGTCGAGATTATTGATTCTGCTTTGATCCTATGAGAGGGAATACCTGATTAGGTCAATAGAGAACCATAGATTGATAGTAGTGGATCGATTGCTTTAGTCGAGGGTTGATTCACTGCTTTGTATCGATTGGGAACCTCTTTCGATAGAGGGAGTCTAGTTCAGAACGCCTTGATCAGTTGTTCTAGAGAAGGATACGTCCCTCTAGGCAATTGACTCAAGAGGGCCTTGTTCCTTTAGTCGAGACTCAAGGTCTAGTCAAGGATTCTCCGCATTGTGAATGAAAGTGAAACAAGTTGGAAATCATCAATCGTTAGTCTGGCTAGTGGCTAGGGGGAATCATACCTAAGTGAGTTCCCAATATGTAATTAGATTAACTTTAACTGTAGTTTGCTAGAGTAGTTTTAGTTCTTTCATCTTAATCTGGTTTGCTAAATAATAAACTGAAGCTGAGTAATAGTAACTCTAGAGACCCGTGGATTCGATATTTATCACTTGAGCCACTATACTGCAGTCCCTTCCATTGGTTACACTTGGCCATTGTTAGGTGTTGTGTCGTAGCAAGTCAGCGTCCCCTGCCACTCGGGTTACGGCGAACATTGCTTGGAGTCCTCCTGCAGACGGGGCTGGAGGCGTGTTGAGGGACAGTGGATAGTTGGCTTTGTGGAAAAAATCGGTGAAGCCTCGGCAGCTTTAGCCGAGTTATGGGCTTTCTATCACGGTTTGGATATAGCTTGGAAATCCGGACACCTCCAGATTGTAGTTGAGTCTGATTCTCAGCTTGCCATCCAGTTAATCAACGACAGGCATGATCCAGTTCATCCTTATGCTACTTTGTTAGCTGCCATTCGCAGAAGAGTTAGCCGTGACAGGTTGGTGCGTATAGTTCATGTATACCGAGAAGGGAATAGAGTCGCGGACTGGCTCTCGAAGCACAGTCCCGTCTATCCCTACGGCATACATGAGCTTGTGCATTCGCCGCTAGGGGTAGTGGCCATCCTTCGAGATGATGTTCAGGGTGTTTCTTTTGAGCGGCGGATTGTTTCCCGCCAGGATAGCTCTCCCTCTTCTCATTCCCCTATGTAACCTTCTTGTTCTTGGCTTTCGCCTCCTACTATGCAAAAAAAAATTGCTTATTCTGAGTTTATTAATTCTCAATGTAGTATCGAATTCTCCATCCTCATTCCTCAAATGAAAATCTGTCGACAAATTATAAAAAAATCATCGTGAGTCATTTAAATATTAATCAAATTTATTATATATATTTTTTAGATTGAACCCAACTTTAGTGAAATCTTGGCTACGCTACTGGTCGTGATGAAGGTCATTATCAACCGGAGTAAAGAGAGGAGTTTTGGGTTTGGATTCAGCAATGGTGGATGAACGGCGGTTGCCCATATCGACGGTGTCAAGTAATCTGGATTGGGCGGTATGATTTTGTTCGTCAATTATGGAGTTTTTCTTCTGGATTTCAATGGAAATGAGAAGAAGAGGGCAGTAAGAAGAGAGAGAGAGAGAGAGAGAGAGAGAGTAGGGATAGAAGTGTCGATTGGATTTTTAATTTGATTTTAATTTTGTTGATTTTTCTGTTAAAAATCTGCAATTTCATTTGTAAGTTCTATTGATTATTATTATTTTCTAAGTAACTTGGTAAAAGATTCCACAATATGTGATACATCATCGGTTAATACATTGATCAGTGACCACTAACAATCAATGTTAACGAATACTAAATTTAGAGACACAATTGTCATATAAAAAAACATAAGAACACAATTGTCATATCATTAGTAACTTACTTGCAACCAGAAAGTCCATAATAGCACATAAACGGCCAATTCTTAATGACCGTAGGTGGAGGAGGTACCTTAGGGCAACTACGAGGTTGTTTGGAGGTTGGGATTTCAAGTGATGTATTTAGCCAATGCATGTAATGTCAAGATTAAGTCGTTTTTTTGGTTAAATTTGTGACAGAATACATGTATTACTTTTTTCTGGGGCCCACCCACAATCACTCAAAATGAGTGATTATCAATTTCTACCAAAAGGTGAGATGGTGATCAAGGGATTGTCTACCCTCTACTTTTTCATTTATAACAAAGCACAATGTAAACCTCCAAACAAGGTATTGTTCAAATTCATACATTTAATCAATACATCAAATTACAATACACAAATTGATTAAATACTTCAATTTGAAAAATCTCAACAACCAAGTACGTTTTTCTAAACCCGCGTAGAAATGAAGGATTTGAAAAGAATGAAAAGCAAGAGCTTTGTAAGAGAAAATGGAGCTCGATGATCCCGCGGTGGCGAAGGAGACAAGAGCCTCAAGCCCAAAGCCCAAAAGACTCCACTGGAAAGGAACGAACCGAATGCAGATATGGGGCACAATTTGAACAAGGTCTAGCACCAGGCCAATTTTCTTAAATTTGTATAAATAAGAGCAATTCGAAAGTGTATCAACAATCCGCTGTAGCATTATAACCCCAGAATTCAACTCCGGGTTGTCAAGCTTGGAATTCCCGAGAGGGGATCCCGGGTTCAACTCCCGGCAGCCGGAAATCTCTTTTGTTTCGTTGCTTTTTGTTTTTTACTTCTTTTACTAACAACATTCAACCTCTTACAAACGTCTAGCAATTAAGGCAAGGCTTTGATTTTGAAGAACTAATAAAAAGCAAACGCCTTCTCGTCCGTGGCCAGAGTGGTAGAGTCGTAGGAATTGCAATAGTACAGCTCCGAGATGGGGATCTCGATATCCAGGGTCCCTAATCATCCCGATTACTATTGCAATTTCCCAATTGCTTGTACCTAATTATCCCGATTAACATTTATAAATCCATGCAGATTATTTAATTAATTTAACATTACCGCCTTGCTAGTACAAACGAATTCATTGACGAAATTGGATTTTTCCCCTTGTAAAGTTGAAAATGAAGAAATCAAAGAAACAAATATAATAATGCTAATAACGAGGCATCAACAATCTTATCTCTTTTATTGTGTTTAGGAAAAACACGATAAAAAATAAGTTATGTTATAAAAAGTCTAATAAGAAAGCAAGTATTCTCCTCATGTGATATATTCGTTCCTTTAGCCTTAATACTTAAATTTTTTAATATTATTATTTTAGACCCATAATCAAAAATCAATTCATAAATTCCTATCGTTCTAAATTCATAATCGAAACCTATAATCTGTAATAATAATAATGAATCATATACATGATGGAGATCCAGCTGCCCGCCTGCCCCCAATAATTTGGAGGCCCTGTGCCGGAGGGCAGACCAGCACACCCTCTTGGCCGGCCTTGTCGATATCAATACTCACTTCGTGGTAGGTTGTGTATAGGGGCGGAGGGAGATGTTAGGGGGTGGGTTCGGCTCGGGAGGAAAAATGGTAAATTAGTATAATAATTAATCGGATATGAAAAAACACGTATTTAAATGAGAATGGTTAACCTTTTAATATTTGATGTATGATTTATAAGTTGTGTATTGACATATTCAATGTTTGTATAACGATATATGTACAATGACAATGATGCATATGATCCACCCAAGATTAAAGATGTATATGTCCAATATCTTGAAAAAATTTCCATCAAATCATAGCTAATTTATAAAAATAATTTTATTTCGGGGTAGAGAGAGTGTAACGTGCGACTTCTAAGGACAAAGAGTAAAATATTATAATAGTTAATTGAGAATGAAATTTAAGACACTTCTAATTGAGAACGGTTGACCGAGAGTGACTCTCTAAAACACAACACCTAACAAAGGCCAAGTGTAACCAATGAAAGGGACTGCAGTATAGTGGCTCAAGTGATAAATATCGAATCCACGGGTCTCTAGAGTTACTATTACTCAGCTTCAGTTTATTATTTAGCAAATCAGATTAAGATGAAAGAACTAAAACTACTCTAGCAAACTACAGTAAAGTTAATCTAATTACATATTGGGAACTCACTTAGGTATGATTCCCCCTAGCCACTAGCCAGACTAACGATTGATGATCTCTAACCTGTTTCACTTTCATTCACAATGCGGAGAATCCTTGACTAGACCTTGAGTCTCGACTAAAGGAACAAGGCCCTCTTGAGTCAATTGCCTAGAGGGACGTATCCTTCTCTAGAACAACTGATCAAGGCGTTCTGAACTAGACTCCCTCTATCGAAAGAGGTTCTCAATCGATACAAAGCAGTGAATCAACCCTCGACTAAAGCAATCGATCCACTACTATCAATCTATGGTGCTCTATTGACCTAATCAGGTATTCCCTCTCATAGAATCAAAGCAGAATCAATAATCTCGACTAAAGCAGAATTGAATCATGAAAACATGCATAGATTGAATATGAACTCAAGATTATCCAGTCAGAGTACTCATACAATCATCCAATCAAACAAACATAGCTAGGGTTCCTCAAAACCTAAGTGAAGGGAAGTTACTCCATAGAGAAGAGAGAGACTGCAGTAAGAATCTTCAGATGATCAGTCTTCAAGTCCGGGCTTGTTCCTCGAGCTTCCAAGGCGAAGAAATCCTCCTTCTCTACTCCAAGAATGCCCTCAAATCGCCCTCTCTCTCTAGGGTTCGTCCCTTGGGTGTTTGGGATCCAAAACCCAGCTCTCTCTCTCCTTTGGTTCGGAATTTGGCTTAAAACCAGATTTCCCGACTCGCACGGCCAGGGTGCACGGCCGTGCATATCACCATTCTGGCCGTGCAACTCAAAACGCAGCGTGTCATTTAGTCGAACTTCAGCCCTCTCGCACGGCCAGGGTGCACGGCCGTGCGAGCTTCAGGGGTTGCCCGTGCGTGTCCTCGGCATAAGGCGCACGGCCATATTGCTCACATGCACGGCCGTGCAGCCTCCCTGGTCTGCCCGTGCAGCTTGCTCAGCCTCTGTTTAATGCTTCGTTTCTCCCTCGTCCGGACTCCGAATCAGTCGCCGTTTGATCCCAGACGCTCGTAGTCTCGTCCTATTTCGTTTCATAACAAGCTTGCACGCTTCTTTGTCCATAAAGTGAGGTAAAAATCCATTCTTCTTCAGGTCATGCCCGAGTTTCCTCTCTCGAATCGTCAATTGATCTCTGATTGACTTGAAACTTGCGCCTATGCTTCAATTTATGTGCTAGGACCTGAAATGGGACAAAGGAACACAACCTAGCATAAAATAGGCCACAACACACGAATATGCCCCTCAAACGGATAAGAACTAGGGGCGCAAACATGTGCAATTACATCGTTATCAAACTCCCCCACACTTAACCGTTTGCTTGTCCCCAAGCAAACCTAACTCAAACCAAGGCAACTCTCCAGACCTCTATAGCAACAAACAACCCAGATCGTAGGTAGAGGACTTCCTAGATCATTTAGCAGCTTACGAGGTCAACCGACGCACAAGTCATCTCATAGCTTCTTCGGTCAGTCGGCATCATGGCAAACAGTGAACAGAGGACAAATGAATTGTGGATGAAGAGATTCTCAAAAACAAAAGATCATGGACTCACAGTTTTCAAGGTGCTCGATTTTCTTTGAAGATGGTTGGAACCCCTTTTTTCTGTTTTGCTTGTTTTCTGTTATTTTTCTTTTCTTTTTTTCTTTTCAAGGGTCCCAACCTGCTCTTACCGGCCATGCCAGGAGCGGATGTCTCGAGCCTCGTGTGGGGGAAAGACATGTAAGGGGGCTGGAGGTAGTAGGTGGAAATTGGGAACGGATTCCCGTCTCCCCTTACACACTTTCGCCCTATTCGCACGGGAGACGTTTATTTTGAAGCACATTTTCGAGCACCTGTTATTTTCAAAACATGATACAAGAGTCCATGACAGGTAGAAAATCCACAACACCACACAATTCAAGGGTCCTAAGATCACTAATTCACTCAATCAACCAACTTTATATGAAGAAGAAATGAGACTTCTTAAATGCATCAACATCCTCCATAGTGCTACACTACCTCCCTAGGTTGCATATTACTGTAAGGACTGTCAATTCAAAGCATACTGAGCAGGAAATTGCAAGGAAACACGTACTTGGAGCCCTCAAATTTAAAAATTTGGACAGTGGACTAGGCTCCAAGCACACAAACAGCCAAACATTCACCCGCATACATGATCGAACACCCCCCCACACTTAAGCACGACATTGTCCTCAATGGAGGAAAGATAAGGGGGGTAGAACGAAGTTACCAGATCAAGGGTGAATGATGATGTACGGGTCAGGCAGTGCATTCCAGGAAGAGAGAGTAATCAGAACACAAACACTACACAAAATCTCACAAAGGTTGAGTTATTGACTCTAAAATCAAAGAACAAAACTGACTCAACCGAAGAGAAATAGAGAAAGAAATGCAAACCGACTGGTTGGGTTGCCTCCCAACAAGCGCTTCTTTCACGTCGTGAGCCGGACGATGGCTCCTAAGTTTCGGTCCATGCTAGAACCTCCTTGAAGTTGAGGTTCTCGTCGATGAGGTGGAGTCTCAAGTCACGAGCATGTGGTGTGGTAGGTGATGAAGGCTCATGTACTTGATGCAGATGAAGTCTCCACCCTCGAGACCTCTTCTTCTCTTCTCTCGTCTCATTGCCCCAAACCAGATAAGACAGCATCGATTGGCCACCATCGCGTCCACCAAGAGGGACCGATGTCGATGTGGCCTTGGTCTGGCAAAGAGACACTGCAAATGGGTCCTTGCTAAGCAGTTCCTCGAAGTTTGGTGGAGATATCACATGTAACTCATGGCCGGTGCAAGCCTCTTCCACCTCAACTTCGTCCTCAGCCTGGACGCCAATCGCCTCTTCAACCTCCCTTCCTTCTTCATGTGGTATCACCCCTGGGAAATGATCAAGAACTCCTCCAGCTTCACTTTCGTCATCCTCCACAACTTCTTTCTGCACCCTTTCTTGCTCTTCTTCTTCTAGCACGGATTGGAGAGCAAGTTGCCAAGCAATTTCTTTCATGAGATCTTCTTGCATCTCCTCACTCATGCCCGCCTCTTCAAAGCTCAGTTTGGGGTGTGGGAAGGTGTGGTCGGCTACGACATGACAGGCCTGATCATGATCATCACGGGAGCTCTCCGTGACAACTTCAGTGTGTTCCACAATGCCCTTGTAGCCTTCTTCTTCCTCCTCCTCTTCTTGTATGGTAGCAGAAGGGTGATCTGGAGCAGGTTGCGCCCAAGATCGCTCAAGATCATCGACGCTCTTCTTAAGGCTCAGGAGGATCTCATCTGTTTCACGATAGGCCTGGACACACTGATCCATCCTGGAGCATGTTCTCTCACAGTCTCGAGCATACTGCTCCATGAGTAACTCCAGTGCCGATGGCCCTTCTGGTTGTGGGAGAAATTCTTCTTGATAATGAGGTTGTTCTTGATATGCCCAGGGGTCCGGTTGTTCTCCGTAGTAAGGGGGTTGGTACTGGAACCCGAATCCATAGTCTTCTCCGCCTTGATTGCTCCACGGAGTCTCGGGGTAATACCACCCAGATGGTGGTGGATACCCCCAATGATTGGAGAAGCCATTAGGATCCATGATTCAGATCTGCACCAACAAAAACAAAAACACCCAAGTGAAAAGCAAGGGTGGAAAAGAAAAGAAACGAAAAACGCTAAAGTAACAAACTTCTGCCTTTCCTAATACTCTAGAAAGTCCCCGGCAACGGCGCCAAAAACTTGACTCTCTAAAACACAACACCTAACAAAGGCCAAGTGTAACCAATGAAAGGGACTGCAGTATAGTGGCTCAAGTGATAAATATCGAATCCACGGGTCTCTAGAGTTACTATTACTCAGCTTCAGTTTATTATTTAGCAAATCAGATTAAGATGAAAGAACTAAAACTACTCTAGCAAACTACAGTTAAAGTTAATCTAATTACAGGTTGGGAACTCACTTAGGTATGATTCCCCCTAGCCACTAGCCAGACTAACGATTGATGATCTCTAACCTGTTTCACTTTCATTCACAATGCGGAGAATCCTTGACTAGACCTTGAGTCTCGACTAAAGGAACAAGGCCCTCTTGAGTCAATTGCCTAGAGGGACGTATCCTTCTCTAGAACAACTGATCAAGGCGTTCTGAACTAGACTCCCTCTATCGAAAGAGGTTCTCAATCGATACAAAGCAGTGAATCAACCCTCGACTAAAGCAATCGATCCACTACTATCAATCTATGGTGCTCTATTGACCTAATCAGGTATTCCCTCTCATAGAATCAAAGCAGAATCAATAATCTCGACTAAAGCAGAATTGAATCATGAAAACATGCATAGATTGAATATGAACTCAAGATTATCCACTCAGAGTACTCATACAATCATCCAATCAAACAAACATAGCTAGGGTTCCTCAAAACCTAAGTGAAGGGAAGTTACTCCATAGAGAAGAGAGAGACTGCAGTAAGAATCTTCAGATGATCAGTCTTCAAGTCCGGGCTTGTTCCTCGAGCTTCCAAGGCGAAGAAATCCTCCTTCTCTACTCCAAGAATGCCCTCAAATCGCCCTCTCTCTCTAGGGTTCGTCCCTTGGGTGTTTGGGATCCAAAACCCAGCTCTCTCTCTCCTTTGGTTCGGAATTTGGCTTAAAACCAGATTTCCCGACTCGCACGGCCAGGGTGCACGGCCGTGCATATCACCATTCTGGCCGTGCAACTCAAAACGCAGCGTGTCATTTAGTCGAACTTCAGCCCTCTCGCACGGCCAGGGTGCACGGCCGTGCGAGCTTCAGGGGTTGCCCGTGCGTGTCCTCGGCATAAGGCGCACGGCCATATTGCTCACGTGCACGGCCGTGCAGCCTCCCTGGTCTGCCCGTGCAGCTTGCTCAGCCTCTGTTTAATGCTTCGTTTCTCCCTCGTCCGGACTCCGAATCAGTCGCCGTTTGATCCCAGACGCTCGTAGTCTCGTCCTCTTTCGTTTCATAACAAGCTTGCACGCTTCTTTGTCCATAAAGTGAGGTAAAAATCCATTCTTCTTCAGGTCATGCCCGAGTTTCCTCTCTCGAATCGTCAATTGATCTCTGATTGACTTGAAACTTGCGCCTATGCTTCACTTTATGTGCTAGGACCTGAAATGGGACAAAGGAACACAACCTAGCATAAAATAGGCCACAACACACGAATATGCCCCTCAAACGGATAAGAACTAGGGGCGCAAACATGTGCAATTACATCGTTATCAGAGAGATCATGTGTTCGAATCTTGGCGACCCCATTCGTTAAGTACGTGATATTCATATTTGCGAAAATTTTAAGCACGTATTAGTTGGTTTTCATTAGCGGGGAAGTATAAGTAAATACTAAATACTAAATAGTATAAGCCCATTGTTAAATCTTTCACAACAACTCGAATTATTGATACTACGTTCTTGACAAAGAACACCATTCAAAAGCAAATGTCTAACTAAATCATTAATAATTGATTGATACATTTAGAGTGATATTCTTGATAGTTTCGGCATATATTTAATTTATCAAGTTTTCATAAATAAAAAATTATATCATGAATTATTTAAAATTCTAACAAAACTATTTTATCGTATGTTTTTTTTTTCTAAATGAACTCACCCTCGACAAAATCCTAGCTACGCCCCTGGTCGGGTACAAGTCGGTATTCATCACAAGGCGCGCGGGTCGGGCGGATCAACCCAATAGGTATGTAGTTTAAAAAGAAAACATTAGGAAATATTCAATTTTTCATTAAAAACCCAAGAAACAAACTAAAATATGATAAAGGTAGTTAGATTATTAAAAAAAATTGAGTTCTCATAAATCTCACATGTCTACAACTTTGTTATAGAAAAGTTGTAGATAAAATATGATGTAATGAAAGTACAATTGTATGTAATTTGAGTAAAATTATATGTAATTTAGGCAAAGAAGGGTCGAAAATGAGGCAGGTCAAGGCAAGTCAAGTCGAGAAGATATCCATATCCACCTTGCCAACAAGGCGGGGATCAGACCCGCCCCAAAACAGATCAAACGGATCGGGTAAAATGGGTCATATGAAAATTGGCATTCCTCCCTGGGTGGAGAGAGAGGACTTTGGCATTGTCACGAGACACAAGGTGAGTTTTGGGGGAAAAAATAGTTCTATATATGTACACCAAGAATTCAGCTCAGGTGATTTAAAAGCATTATATCACTGCACTACAACTCATTCTTTGTTCTTGGACTAACATAAAATTATTATTACACTATAAAAAAAAATACTCGATCATAATAATTCCCTATTCATCGGGATCTCTTTTTTACCTCAGGTTTATTTGATTCTGGCCGGCAATCGTTGCTGAAGTAACATGACATCGGTTCTCCCATTCCTCGTTGGTGTTGCGTCTATTCGACATCGTGAACAACCATCAAATAAGCATTTTGTGTACAAAGAGCAAGTGTATAAAGAGCATTTTGTACTTTGAGCTATATTAAGAACAAGTTTTGAATTGGAATTGGTGGCAAGTTTGCTAATAAATATTTAGTGTGATACATTGAAAAAAACTTACTTAAGAGTGTATACATCTAATATATTTTGTGCCTATGTTTGGCCCGACTTTTAGGAGTGCTTTTCAGCTTCAAAAGTTGAAGTAGGGCCAAACACCTCTAAAAACTCGGCTTTTGAAAAACCCAAAAAACGCTTTTGTATAGCATGAAAGCAGAAGCTTCAATTTGGAGCTTTTGCGAAAAGTCATTTTAAAAATAAAAAATTATCCTTACCATATTTTAATTTTAATTTAGAAAATATAATTTTATTTATTTATATCATTTTAAAAATAAAAGAAATTATAAATAATATTATTTAATATAAAAGAAATCTAACAAGATCTATTTTGACTACTTGTTATTGTTTAAAATTTTTATTCGTAGTTTATATTATAGGTCCTTTATAGTTATTTTATACAATCTCTCATATTAAAAAGCACTTTAATAATTTTTCAGCTAAACACTCAACTAATTTTTCCTGAAAAGTACTTCTCTGAAAACTTCAGCCAGAAGTTGCTTCTGCAAAAATTACAGCAGAGGCAAACTAGTTTTGTTTCTTTAGAGTATGAAAAGAGAACATAAGTAGTTCAAATCCTTACTTCACTATTGTGCATGACTTCCTTTTCTTTAATATGTTCCACCGCACAGACTTTGATTCCTACTTCCCCATCCAAAGCAACAAACACTCAACCCAACGACCAATGCTACTAGATAGTATCAAAACCAAAGCCAAAATATATGGTGGTTAGCCTACTCGATGTGCCCGGGAGCTAATTCCAGGCCAAACCCCACTTTCAAGGACATAAACAAATGCTCTATTCGGATATGGCCATCTAGCAAGTAGAGATGACAACAAAATCCGAACTCACGGGTATCCACCCGATCCAAACTGGTTAATGCGGCCAAAATCCGTGTTGACAGGTTTTGGGTCAGGTTCGGGTTTAAACCCACTACACTATTCACTAGGTTGGGTTTGGGTTTAGGTAAACCCGCCCCATGGGTACCCGTCCACACCTATATAATTAATTTTTTCGGGTTATTTAATATTCTAAACAATATATCTTCCTTAAACAACTAATCTTCTTTATGTTTGTGGAGACATGTCTAATTTGTTCTTTCTAATTGTGTACAATGAAGCTGATAATATGGAATGCAGAGTGAAGAAGCTTAGTTGACGAGGAAGGAGCTTTCAATTAATCATGTTGTTTATAGATGTTTATCTTTAATTTTGATCTATTTGTATTGATAATTTACGGCTTGCTTGTATGCTCTAGATTAGTGTTTTTTTATGGATAATTTTTATGAGAAAATTAATGTTAGACTTTTATTTTGAAAGAAACTTGTTATTATAAATTTTTTACCACAAAAATCCACGGGTACCCATGTACCCGCGGATACACAGCGGGTTGGGTTGAGTTTGAGTTTTTCAAACCCAGCGGGTTTTACCCCGTGTTTTTTGACGGATAAACCCATGGGTTTGGGTTTGGCAAAACCCGCCCCAACCCGACTCATTGTCATCCCTAATGCTCATCAAGCCCACAAGAACTCGTCATCCGTTGATCGGATTCAATTTCAAAATCTTATTGAATCATTCTTGTAACGAGTTCAAAAATTTTCCTTTAGTTGGGTGGAAGGTAGTGATGGCAATTTCAACCCGCCCCGTCGGGGATTATCCAACCTGATCCATCGGGCATGAGTACTGTCATAACCGGGCAGCTCAATTAGTACGATATTGTCCGCTTTGTGTCAAGCCCGCACGAATTTACTTATGGATGTCCTCCCCAAAAGTCCTCGTACTAATGAGCTTGGTGGACACTTATATACAAGGGTTTCTTCCCTTGTATTTCCAATGTGGTACGTGGATTGTCACATAACAATCCTCCCCTCAATACAAGAACCACGAACTTTTGTCCTCAACTTAGCGATTATCTTGATCTGCCAGACACCTTGTATCAATGAGCTTCTCGGTACAAGGATTTTCCCAGGCGCGCAACTCTCTTTGATCCGCCAAATCAGACACAGATCTCAAACCCCAAGGTCCACGAATGGGGGTCCTACCAAACTTACGTCAACCACCCCGAACCGAATCAGACTCTGATACCACTTGTCGTCGAGTAGACTCAAAGATATCACGTTGTTCAAGGTGCGAACAAAACCATCATGTGTCCTCATCCTAACGGAGCCTCTTCCAACAATCTTACAGATAGCACCATTGGCCATTGAAACATGTCCTCCATCTACCTGCTCATAAATTGAAAAACACTCCATGCGTGGACACATATGATAATCAATTGCAGTATCTAAATTAGGGCTGGGAAAACAGACCAAACCGTTAGAAAAACCATGGTCCAAACCAGACCGCACAGTTTGGTCCGGACCGTAGACCGTTAAGTATGGTCTGGTCCATGGTCTGTATTATTTGATGTTTTGATTTCTTGGTCTAGTCTGGTTTAGACCGCGGTTTACTAGACCAAACTGTGGACCCAGCCAACTTTTCAATACTCGTTAACAGGCCATTCGACCACTCTCCCAATTCCCACAACGACAGCCAAGTCTCAACCTTAATTTTGAGAATCTCGTTCCCTCCTTCATTCACAACCACATTTCACTAAAGAGTAGAGATAATAGTGTCTCTATGTGAAATTATGTTCATGTTTATGACGTTATGGTCTGTGCTGGGATGCTTTTACTTTGTATCTTTGTTATGTACTAAGATTTAGGGTGTCAAAATTATTCATGCATGTTAGAATTAATGTTTCAAGGAAAAAAATAATTTTTTTCTTGGTTATTGGTTCAACATTTTGTGTAATTGACTAAACAAATTGTTCATTTTTTGTTGAGTGTGGTCTTTCTGGACCAGACCGTACCGGACCAGACCGCACAGGCATGGTCTGGACCGGATCGTATAGTCTGTGGTCTATACTCTAGCCTCACGGTCTAGACCGTAGACCATATATATGGTCTCGTCCAGACCAGACCGCACCGTTTCCCATCCCTAATCTAAATACCACATATCCTGATGATGTACCTGCTCATTCACAGCTAAGGCTAAACCATCTTCAGAATCATAGTTAGTTTCTTCCGCTACAACAACATGTGATTCCTTCTTCTCCTTATATTTCTTTAGTTTAGGACAATCAACTTTCTAATGCCCTTTCTCCATACAATAATGACATTTATCATCCTTCAAACCAACCGAATTTGAATTTATATTCGCCTTCCTATTACCATATTGTTGTCTCCTACTACTGGTAGCATCCAACCCATATGCCTGACGTTCCGAACCTGAACCAGACGCCTTATGTTGAACCTCCCTAGTATGTAAAGCAGATCTGACATCTTCCAAAGACAAACTATCTTTCCCAACAATAAAAGAATCCACAAAATTCTCATATGACTGTGGTAAAGATACTAACAGAATTAAGGCAGCATCCTCATCATCTACTTTAACATCAATATTCCACATATCTAACAAGATAGTATTGAGTTGATCTAGATGATTCCTAAGAGACATAACTTCCTCCATACGCAAACTGAACAAACGTTGCTTCATATGCAACTTGTTGGTTAAAGACTTTGTCATGTATAGATTTTCAAGCTTCAACCACAAGCCCACAACTGTCTTCTCAGCAGCAACCTCAGTGATGATGTCATCAGACAAACAAAGCAAGATTGTAGAGTGAGCTTTCTCCTCCAAAGTACTCCACTCGTCTTCATCTATGCTTTTCTTCTTCGATTTTTCAGACAACGGAGCCCACAAACCCTGTTGTTTCAACAGTGCTTGCATCTTGATCTGCCTCAAACTGAAAATGTTTCTCCCAGTAAAATTATCAATCTTCATACTAATAGCATCCATCCTTGCTATCCAACAAACTCCAACCAAACTTCTCACTAAACAAACGAGACCAAATCGCAACTACCCAAAAGAACACAGTACTGCAGCCGACGACCAATATTCTCACGCCTATTCTCTCGAACCAGATCGACAACCAAGCTCTGATACCACTTGTCATAACTGGACAACTCAATTAGTACGATATTGTCCGCTTTGGGTCAAACCCGCACGGATTTAATTTTGGGCGTCCTCCCCAAATGACGTCATACTAATGAGCTTGGTGGACACTTATATACAAGGGTTCCTTCCCTTGTATTTTCGATGTGGTATTTGGATTGTCTCATAACAAGTACTACTTCCGCCCCCGCCCCCCGTTTCTTGACCCGTTTTACCTTGATTTGTCTCATTGTTTAATTGTATTTCTCCTATTTTTTCTTATGTTAAATCATATTTTCGCCCAGGGATACTTTAGATAAGTGAAAGACTTTATCTATAAACTAATTTCACTCAATTAAACCAATCAAAATTGGGTTAAACAAGTTAAACTGGATGGTCTTACCAAGATGATGATTGATAATTTTGTAATATATATGTCTTTTGAAGAAATAATTTGATAATATATGAATATAAATTAGTGACATTGTTTAAAATATGTCAAATATATGCATAACTTATATGATATTAGAGATTTTCTAACATATCATGTTAAAATCGACTTAAATTGATTGAACAAGATCCGACCATTAAATCTCAAACCACTAGTCAAACTAACTTGGTGGTTTAATCCGGTTTGACAACCGTACTCTAAAGCCACGGAGATTAAAAATGAGATGATCAAGGTCGGGTCGCATGGGGTTGGTGCCCGTCAACAACGTTTGGCAAATAGCACTTTGGGGTTTTTACGTCTCCAAGTCACAGTCGAGCATTTCAAGCTCAGAATAGCTCAGCAGAGTAATTGTCCGGCCGGGGACATGTACGCGAAATGAAATCCGCGTAGACAATGATGATACCGTTAAACACAGAATTGTGGCGCCAATCAAGGCTGCCAGTCCTTTTCTTTGTTCCCCAAACTAGTCTTGTTCACATGCTCACCCACCCAGGTGAATAGTAGCTTCCCAGTTTCAAAAATCAAAACCGTATTAACATTTCGTTTTTTTAGGCAAAATACACTTAGGTAGCCAAAACTTTGACGGTTTGGCCAAACATAGCCACTTTTGACGAAACCAAAAATAGCCACTTTCGTTCAATTCCTTGACGGTGTGAGCTAACGTGCTGACTGGACTAACGGAAATGCTGACCTGGCAATATTTAATCAATTAAAATGTGATGTGAAATTAAATAAAAAATTAAAAAATTAATTAACATTTTTTTATTTTTCTCTCCCTTTGCTATTTTTCTGCTTCCCTTCCAACAATCCATCTGCCGAAGTATACAAATTTGGCCATATTTCTCCATTTTGCAACTGATTTCCCCTTTCCTATCCAGCTTCCCCAGATTTGTCTATCCCTCTTCCCGGAATTTTCTTTCCAATCAGCTTCTACCTCTCCTCGATTTTTCTATCCCTCTCCCCAATCCCTCTCTCAATAAAGACAACAACCGCCACATAGATCGCCATCTGCAAGCCAAAAATACCAAAGCATCAACATTCGAGGCGCATCGTGAGTTCCTCGACTCCGCCGCCACCGTCGAATCTCGGTCAGGGGGAGAATGACCCTTCGTCGAGTTCCTGGTCTCCGCCGCTACTGCCGTCGTCGAATCGCGATCAGGGAGAGAACGACCCCTCTTCGCTGACCAGATTTATCAGTTCTTAGATCTGATGAAGTCGCCGTTAGGGTCCTGGGTTACGCCGCCATCGAGTCCCGACCAGTGAAGAATAACCCCTCTTTGCTCTAGATTACCGTTGTTGCTCCGTCATATCTCTCCCACTCTCTAGATCTATCCGGAGTTGTGGGCTTCTCATGGCACGGTCCGTCTTTTCAAACTCCAAAAGTTAGTAAGCCGAAGTCGCCGGTGGTGAGCTAGGCCGGGTTCATGTGGCGGGCGGTAGCGTTGGTGGTGGCGTAGTGGAGGAGTGCGGAGGCGATGGTGTCCGGGAGAAGGGTGGAGGAGGCTGCAAAGGTGGAGGAGACAGATGAGGGGATGGTGGCGGTGGAGAAGAGAGTGAGGGTGAAGGGGAGTGTGGAGAAAGTGGGATGAAGTTTGGGTTTCCCTGACGGAGGGAGCAGGAAGAGTGGGAAGGAGGAGATTTGTGGGTGGATGGATGGGGTTGAGTCTCCCTATTCCCAGCGAGAGGAAGAAGATGAAAGGGGATTGCAGATTTATTTCTTTTTTCAACTGAATTTTGTGATTAAAAAAAATACAAATACAATTATTTATTTAAAATTTTAATTGAAATAATACGTGGCATCTACGTGTCATCAATTATTGAGGTGTCGATGACATGTCCGGTGAGTTGGCAGCCCAATGAGCTGACCGTTAATTTGACTAACGGTGTCACTAACACCGTTAAAGTATGTAACGGAATTGGCTATTATTGTCATCAAACTTTCAAAATTCTGGCTATTTTTGGTATTTCGCCAAAAATAACTACATTTGGCAAAACCGTTAAAATTTTGGCTACACATATGTATTTTGCCTTTTTTTAAACTGCTCACCAACATTAATAAAACCATTGACCCAAAAGGAAAGAAACCCCTTTTAATAAAACGAAAACTGCCGGAAGAAAACAAAGGACCGAAGGAAAAGCAGAGTGCAAAAAGGTACAGAAATTCTCTTTGGTCCATGCTTCGTCATCCATTTGCAGAGCAGAATCATTGGAGCTGCTGCTACTTGCTTACTGGTTAGCAGCTATCCCATCTCATCTCCCCTGTCATTTTGGATTGTATGTCATTTCTCATTTGTTAATGGCAATTGGACTCGTGGATATGCAAACGGAAGGGGGAATTCCATTATACCCTTTTGTTTAATCTAATTCTCCTTACCTTTTGGTAATGGTAGGTGTTTTTGGAAAAACGAAAGCTGCAGCCATATACTTCTTCCCGACCGCTGTTTCATTGCCTTTTTTGCAGTGTACAGGCTGATACTTTCTTCTTCTTCTTGATCCCTGCCAAAAGCAACAAACAGTCAACCCTACTCTTGGTTGATTTTGTCCGACTCGATCTCTCCATCTATAAAGTTTTCCTTTCTTGCCTTTGCCTACTATTCATCAATCAACCATTCCCCTGTTTACGATTCTCGGCATGAAGTTGGTGTGGGTCAGTCTGTGTTTATGGCTTGCCCACGGCGGCCGAATTGCGCTGGTTACGGCGGCTAGCGCATGCGGGCCTGAGAGGGAGCTGAATCAGACTCCGACTTGGGCCGTCGCCGGTGTCTGTGCTGTCATCATCATCATCTCTATCCTCCTTGAGAAGCTTCTTCACAAACTTGGCTCGGTATGTACACGATAAGCTTCTGTATTTTGTGCTTGAATTCTGCGATAGCTTCTAACTTGATTAAAATTGCAGTGGTTTACAGAAAGGCACAAGAGAGCTCTATTCGAGGCCTTGGAGAAGGTTAAGGCTGGTGGGTTCTCTGAACTGTACTGCGGACTTCATAAAGTTGGAACCTTTACTACAAGGGTTTTAAGCAATTGTTGGGTTTTGTTTGTTGCAGAGCTTATGGTTCTGGGTTTCATTTCATTGCTGCTGACTTTTGGTCAGAACTACTTCTTGAAGATTTGTGTGTCCGAGGACGTGGCAAATTCGATGCTGCCATGTCCTTATGAAGGTGAGCACAAAACTGATATGGAGGAGGAACATCGTCGGAGGCTGTTGTGGTTTGAACACAGAATGTTAGCTGGTGCAGACTCTGCAACAAAGTGCAAGGAGGTCTGTGTTGCAATTCTTGCCCTCATGACTAGTGATGAGTTAGTTGGTTTTGACTGTGGTCGACTATAAGTCGACTGTAGGTTTTGGTTAGCTGAAATGCTCGTCTTTCATAGCATGCCTCCTAAAAAGAATCCATTGTGTTGCTGTTATCATTCGTTCTTAAGAAACCGAGAGATGGTTTTCCATCAAGTTAGACTATTGGTGAGTGTATGTGTTTGAGACTTATGAGGAAGGGATCATGACCTGGTTTGGACATTGACCAGTCAAGTTCAGGGTTTTTGGTAAATTTTGAGTAGATGGACAAGTTGAATGAGATTAGTCAAACTACTCAGAATGTCTAATCGCCATTCTATTCGACTTTACAAGTCTATAATGTGTATCTTACTGATGTGGCTCTTCTCAACAGGGGCATGTACCACTTATATCAGCCAATGGACTGCATCAACTGCACATCCTCATTTTCTTCTTAGCCGTCTTTCATGTGATCTATAGTTTTGTAACCATGATGCTCGGGAGACTGAAGGTAGATTACAGCTTATTGTCTTCATTCCATTGTGCATACATATTTCTGTAGATATGACTTTCTGCTTCTGAATTCATGAGAAATTCCTTTTACTTCATCTTTTGCATAAGTTCTCTAGGAAACTTGGTTGATTGTTGATTTGTTAATGTCCCAGATTCGTGGCTGGAAGGAGTGGGAGCAAGAAACTTCCTCCCATGATTATGAGTTCTCTAATGGTATTTTGGTCAAACTTTCTATGCTAAAACTCCGTGTTGATGTTTCTGTTGTTGTATGTTTTTGGAAAACCACTTTACATTTGGCTTCTCATGCAACATGCTCTTGTTAACAGATCCTTCAAGGTTCCGGCTTACCCATGAGACATCATTCGTGAGAGCACATACCAGTTTCTGGACAAAGATTCCAGTCTTCTTTTATTTTGTAAGATCATACCTTTTTATTTTGTAAGATCATACTAACTATACTTTATTTCAAGTACACAAACTTTCTTTTTTATTTGTAAAATAGATGAAGATGATGCTCTAATCTCTGGGAAACAAATTGATTACACAAGAATAAAAGACTATATGTTTCTGGCCACTGCAGGGATGCTTCTGTAGGCAGTTCTTCAGATCTGTTAGTAAGTCTGACTACATGACATTGCGCAATGGGTTCATCTCCGTAAGTCGTTTATATCCCTTGGCTTAACCTTGTAGCCAACTTCTCTTTAAGTTGGGAACTTAGCTAGATATCAATCCCCCCTTTCCTTATGATAGTGGGTTTTGTTCATTGCAATAGGTGCACCTAGCTCCTGGAAGTAAGTTCAATTTCCAGAAGTACATCAAGAGGTCGTTGGAGGATGATTTCAAACTAGTGGTCGGAGTGAGGTAGCATGTCCTTTTTATATAGTAGTCATGATAAATTATTTCTTTTCTCGACAGTTAGCTTGGATAGGAGAGTATAGAATTGGATTAATAACTGAATTCATTTTGAATGCGATTGACAGTCCTGTATTGTGGGCGTCTTTTGTGGTTTTCCTGCTTGTGAATGTTAATGGTAAGTCTATGCTTGCAGTGGTTCTTGTCCAAAGAATTTGAAAGCATAGTTTATTTGCGAGTAAGTGACTGGGTTTGGTTATGGTTTCAGGTTGGCGAGCACTCTTTTGGGCATCCATAATTCCCGTCATTGTAAGGGACTAGAAAAAAAAAAGTGTTATCTTTCAAATGCTAAGAAAGAAGGCTGATGATTTTTTATGATTATAAAGATCTGAACATTTTAAGATGTCTTGCTGCAGATAATCTTAGCAGTTGGAACGGAGCTTCAGTCCATTTTGACGAAGATGGCAATCGACATCTCAGACAGGCATGCAGTAGTGCAAGGAATACCTCTTGTGCAAGGGTCAGATAAATACTTTTGGTTTGGTCGCCCCCAGTTAGTTCTTCATCTAATCCACTTTGCTTTGTTTCAGGTAACTCTTACGCCACATGTATAACTACAAAAAACTTAGTAAACAATTGCCATTTGAATCTAATCACATTACATATATGTTTGCATTTACCTGTCATTTCCACTTACTTCTTCTACTATTGACTGTCTCTTCTCTTCGGGTGATCCTGCAGAACGCTTTCCAGATAACATATTTCCTGTGGATATGGGTAAATGGACTTTCCTTTTCTACCTCTGCATTAGTCGATAGATGATATACATGCTCATAGTTGACCATTTTTATGTGTACATTGCAGTATGCATTTGGCATGAAATCGTGCTTCCATGCTAATTTCACGCTCGCCATCGTCAAAGTCAGCATCGGGTAGGTATTTCTTCATAAATTTTGGTCATCTTTGGTGATATTTCTTCTTTTTTACATCTAATTCCACTAGCATTGCTCTGTGCTTCTTGCTTCTGCAGTGTTGGTGTCCTACTCCTTTGCAGTTACATCACGCTGCCCCTTCATGCACTTGTGACTCAGGTGCCTAGTACTTTAGTAAAACATTCTCATCAACTTAATTTTTACCGCGAACAGTAATTCACATACAATGGCCAAATGCATTTTTTTTCACAGATGGGTTCCAACATGAAGAAAGCAGTGTTCGATGAGCATACATCCAAGGCTTTGAAGAAGTGGCACATGGCTGTGAAGAAGAAGAAAGCAGCGGGAAGAGGCTCGAAGTCGTCTTTATCAGTCAGAACTCTGGGTGGTGGAGATACAAGCCCGATGTCTGTGATAGCAGATGGCTCCTCCACTGCCAGAACTTTGCTCTCCACCGGCTCGTCTGGCCACACATTGCACCGTTTCAAGACCACTGGCCACTCTACACGGGCTTACTATGCTTACCGTGATGATGATGAGCTGTCGGACATGGAAACCGAGGCGTTGTCCCCTGCTCCTTCATCATCCATCGTTCAGATGAGTTTGATTGAAGGAACCAAGAGGGATCATGAAGGTGGGGAAGAAGCTGAGGAGTTGGATGATCGGATTCCTATTTCTGGAGCTGGAAATTTGATGGATGAATCCCTCCCCCACCATCATCGTGCCGGGGAGGAAAGTAGTAATGGGAATGAGGAGGATTTCAGCTTTGTGAAGCCGGCTGTTTCCTTTAAACAACCATAAATGATGCTATATCTTCAGCTAGCAGCGTGTGAGATGTAAATTCTGTTCATTCCTATATCTTTGGCGATACATGTGTCAACTCGCCAAATCAAGTTCCTATAGAGAATTAGTTGAGGAATAATGTGCTCAAATCGAGTCAATTCACTCAATTTCATTGTCGATCAAAAAGGCTACGAAGAACCACCAACAGACTGGAGGCCAGAAGTGAGGTGCAATCATGAAGCAACTGTACGAGAAGAATGTCAGTCAGTGCCATGAGAAAAATGCAGCACATGCTACGCTAGTGGCATGCGTGCACTTCTGTTTATAAGTATTATCAAACCCGTAAACATCCGTCATATAATGATTCAGTAGCTTGTTCATCAACTCAGAGATAGGACACCAGGGAGAAAATCTGAAAATTGCAGCACATAACTTTACAAATCTCTTTTCACCTACAGCTTGAAATTCATGAAATCATTCAAAACCATCAGGCTCCTCATCATCGCTGCCGCCTCCAAACATGGAAGCCATTTTCATTGCCAGATTTGCAGCCATTTCCCTTCTCTGTACATCAGGCATCAATCTTAACCCATCCCTTATGTTACCGATTTCAAACATCAGCTTTTCCAAGTCCTCAAAGTCGAATGGTTCAACCTCACCATTTGCTTCCGATACTTCAGCATTTCGCACTGCTCCTTTGTCGTCCTCTGATGATTCCTCTCTTTGAGCAGACGACGACAGCAGATTTCCTTCATAACCCTGTTCTCCGTCCTCAGGGTGAATCCCCATGACACCTCCAGCATTTGATGCAGTACTAGAACTTTCTTTGTTCCCATTGCTAAGTCCGGCAACATCGTGTTTTACGTGTGCATTAGATTCCCCTTCACTAGGAGTGGAAATCGTAGTGCTGGCAGAAACCCATCTGGTATCATCCCACGGTTCTGCAGAACCTGCGGATAGCACCTCGTATTCTAATTCGTAATCCGACTGCTCCGATAAGTCTGCATCTTGCACACAAACCAGTTAGCACAAAAAGCATCGATAGCAGCACAGTAAATAAATGGCAAAGGAGCAAGTAAAAGAACCTTCTTCCTCAGGTATTGGTTGTTCAGCCATTTTATTTCCAGATTTCAAAATCATTCCAGGCCACATATGAGCAGAAAGTGCACCAAAGATTCGTTCCATCCCTTGACTATCGCCATCAACAGACAGACCTGTGAAGATTATAAGCTTATTACTATTCTTTTGGCAGCAAAAGAACCTTGATTTAAATCTACATTTTCCACAAACCTTCTGCCACTTAAATGACACAGGCGCCACTAACTAATCTGTTCTTTAGATCAATTTCGTCACTGAAGCCTAAAGAGCAAAGGAGAGAGATTTACTCACATTTGTCGAATTCGGGATTGGAAGCGCAAGCTTCAATGTACTCAATATTCCGATCAGTGCACCACTCAATACATGACCTCCTGATCTGAAACGACTGATCTTGTTCTTCTACTACTTCTTCTTCGTCGTCTTCGTTGTTCCCTAACAAATTGGCACCTTCTGTTTCAGAGATTCCGAACTCATCAGAGGCAGACTGCTCAAGCTCGAGCTTTTGCTGCCGCCGCAGTAACCGCCTTCTGTATTCTTGGTGGACGGGATGGCCCGGAACAAGGTCCACTTTATTCCCTACGCATAACAGTATCTCGTAATCGTCGATATCGGTGCGCGATACCCATTCTTGAACTGCAGCAAGCGACGACAGCTGCACAAAAACGAGACTAAGAAACGAATAGCCCAATTGAAATAAAAGGGGGGAGAGACAGAGAAGGGGGATAAGAGACTGACGTCAGTAGCGTCGAAAACCATGATGACGGCGGCCAATCGGCGGCGAGACGGGAGGTTCTCGATTCGGAATCCGTCGGTGAGATGAGTAACCCATACGGATACATCGGCGGAGTAGTACTTAGTGTTGATTGTCCACCTGTTGGCGCCAAGAGACGAAAATTTTCACCCTAGGATTCCAAAGAGGGGAAGATTTGAAGAGGGATTAAGTGGGAGTACTGACCCGCGGATGAGTAATTGAGAATCGGAATCGGGATCGGGATCATCTTCGAGATCCAGCGAAAGCAAACCTGCGGCGGAAGAAGCAATTGTTATAGATTATGCGGCGATGAACAAAGCGCCGGAGAAATGGAAACAGAGTGGGAGTGAGAGAGTATTACGGGAGAGGAGGGTGCGTTTGCCGACGGCGGAAGGACCGATGATCAGGATTCCAGGCCTGTCCTCCAGCGATGGCGAAGACATACTCGGTTCTGGTACTACTTCTTCGCCTGCCATTAGCTTTCTTTTTACCTTCTCCTTTCAGCTGCTTCTTCGTCAAACAGTGAGCTCGAGCAAAATGACCAGTTCACTTTTCCGGCAAGACAAATCAAGGAAGAAATGGGGAAAAAGAGGAAAAAATGAAAAGGAAAGAACAAAGCACAGGCACAGGCGGCACAGCGGAGAAGATCGGCAGATCTGGCCCAACTCTGCCGGCTGTGTCTGCCAAGCGAGTTCTGGGCTCTGGTCTAGAGGAACTAATGCTATAGGCCCAGTCACTAGCTTTTAAAGTGCATCTGGGCTGGGCTTCCATTTCAGGTTTTTTTTTTTAAGTTTTTATATTTCTTAAATTTAAGACATTAGAGTCACATCACAACGGTTGATCATTTTGTAATTGACCAAAAGTTGGAGAAGTTTTATGCCATAAAGGTTTTAATCAATTAATTATATGCTATTAAGATACTAATCAATTAACTTATTACAATTTAATCCTAATTGAATGATTCTGCGAAGATAAAAGGTAGAATGGGACGGTCTGGTCAGCTGCTGCCTATGCGTCCCAAGTCAGGTTTCAGGATGGGCATTGGCGAACTGGAAGAGATGATGTTTGACAAGAAGAGAACTAACCAGGAGATGATGACAGCTCCGGATGACCAAGGTTTGCCGCCCAAAAAACTATGTTTTGATGTTGCTGCCTTGTAGGACGTGGGGCTGGAAAATGATGACCGTGCTGGATGAGGAAGAGCAAGAGGTGGAACAGAATGAACAGGGACTAGATGGTGATGGAGACGAAGATGCGGTGGAGGAAGCCAGCCGAGAGTGGCCCCAGAGGGATAAATGAAGTTGATGTTTTGGAATTGTCGTGGCACTGGACCAGTCACGACAATTCGGCAGTTAGAGTCTTTGAAATTTCGTTATTTGCCAGATGTTATTTGTCTTTCAGAAACTATGTCGAATGAAGTTGTAGTTTCTCGCCAGATGAGGCGTTTAGATTTTTATATGTCTCGTTCTTATTTTGTTGATGTCGTCCAGACTGTCGGCGGCCTAGCTATAGGTTGGTCCACTGAGGTTTTTGTGAATTTGTGGATGACTTAGAACTCCAGGATTTGGGTTTTATTGGAGCTCCCTACACTTGGTCTAATAGGAGAAGTAATCAGCAACGGGTAATTCAAGAAAGACTGGATCGAGCCTTGGTTTCGAGTGGTTGGTTAGATCAGTTACTCAATTCGGCATTGCATCATCTTTCTGACCAGGAATAAGATCACAGAACCCTATTGCTAGCTACGAAACATATACAACAGCGTGGGAAACAATTGTTCCGATTCGATCAACGTTGGGGTACGAACCCTGAAGTGAGGGAAATCATCCAGGAGGTGTGGAGTCTGACGTTTGATGGTACACCTATGTTCCGGTTATGGTGTAAGCTTAAAAAATTAAGACATAGGCTCTATGAATTGAACAAATTAGGGAAAAGTAACTCCGAGCGAAAGATTTGAAGCCTTCAACAAGAGTGAGATATTGTTTGAGGGGCTTCTGTAGTAGATTGGGATAAATTGTGTGATCTGGAGAGCCAGTTGAGGGAAGCTTGGATTGATGAAGAGATCTATTGGCGCCAGAAGTCAAGGGTGACATGGTTAAATGAGGGTAACCAAAACTCATCTTATTTTCATAATATCGCTAGAGCGCGTCGTCGGCATAACCATATCCAGGGTATTTATGATCCTGCGGGTACCTGGGTCATGGGGGAGGATGATATGGCACATGTGGCGTGCGATTTCTATGGCGATCTCTTTACTACGAGCGGTTTGGATCCTCAGTTGATTGGGAAAAAGTAGCTTCTTTGCCTATTGAAAGGAGAGTGACTGATCGCATGAACGCCAAGCTAACTGCTGAAGTGTCCTTTGAGGAAATTCGACGTAGCGTCTTTCAGATTGGTGCAACGCAAGCCTCGGGATCGGATGGATTTACTGGTGTGTTCTTTCGTCAGTTTTGGGACATTGTTGGTCTTGACGTAGTAGAGGCAGTTAAACACTTCTTTTCTACGAGTTCTCTCCTGAAGAATTGTAATCATACTTGGCTTGTTCTTATACCGAAGGTTGATAGGGTTGAACATATGCGGAACCTACGACCTATTAGTGTTTGTCAATTCTCCTACAAAGTCATAGCTAAAATTTTGGCTGAACGACTAGCTCGCTACTTACCTTCTATTGTGTCCCCGGGGCTGAATGGATTTGTTCGTGGTCGGCAGATTGTTGATAATGTACTGATTGGGCACGAGGTTATGCAGTACCTGAAGAATAAGAGGGTGGGAAAACAGAAATTCATGGCGTTCAACGTGGATATGGAGAAGGCATATGATCGGGTGGAATGGCCATTTTAATTCGCATTGCTTGAGAAACTTGGTTTCAGTGCGCAATGGATCAAATGGCTATGGGCTTGTGTGTCTTCTCCGACTTTTTATGTTTTGATGAATGGAAAGCCTTCAGGGTATTTTAGTGCAACTCGAGGTCTTCATCAGGGTGTTCCTTTATCTCCACTCATGTTTGCTATTTGCACCGAGGGTTTCGCTGCTCTGCTCCGGCAGGCAATGTCAACTCGTGTTTTGACCGGTCTTCGTATTAGTCCACGGTGTCCTGTTGTGTCGCATTTATTTTTTCGCGGATGACTCGTATTTGTTCCTACGAGCTTCATGTTCTGAATGTGAACACCTCGTCGGGGTTCTTAAGCAATATGAGGAGCTCAGTGGTCAAAAGGTAAATCTAGCTAAATCAACGGTTTGTTTCAACAGAAATACGCTATCACTTGATAGAGATGAGATGGGGCGTATTCTAGGAGTGGGTGCCATGGGATGGGATGGGGTGCTAACCCCATAGTACGTTAGCACCGTGCTAACCCGCATTTTACCCTAGCTTTTTTTTATCGGCTAATGCAAAAGGTGTAATATTGCCAAGGGCATTTTTGTACGTTTGGTTAATTAGCTGTCATGTCGTATAATTAGCGGGGTTTTGGGGGTGGGAGAAGTTTCTTTTTTGGGTGAGTGTTTTTCTTCCCATTTTCCTCACTAGTTGTCGGACCAAGCAAACCGTGCGCTGTCGCAAGTTCTTCCCGTCGTCGCCGGCGATCTTCGACGCCGCCCTCCGCTCCCCTCGACCTCGTCGCCGCCCTCCGATCCTCCCACCTTGTTTCCGCCCTCTGCTCCTCCGAACTCGTCGTGGCCAGTTGATTTCAACCGATCTTGTCTTCGCTTGGGTCACCACCTCAGTTGATAGTCAAATCTCTTCAATATTCTTTCCATCTTTTCATAGGCGCCATTGCATGCCCCTATCCCGGCTCTGATTTCTTTTTTTATCAATCTAGATCTGTCTTTGAGAGAGGTTGCGTGTAGGTTTCTAGATGCTAGCTCTGTTTTGGTTTCTGATCGGAGTGGGGTGCATTTTTTCCGACGAAGTTCACATTTGCAGATGAGAAGGTGAAGAGTCCAAAACGTTGAGTTCGTAGTGTTTTTCGGTGTGTGTAGTATTGTATTCTTGGTAGTGATTCGTGTTAGGTTATAGCTGACTGCGGGAGTCCAAAACTTTGAGTTCGTAGTGTTTTTGGATGTGGGTAGTTTTGTTTCCTTGGTAATGATTTGTGTTAGGTTACAGCTGATAGGAAGTGAGTCAGTGCTTTAGACTGGTAGTGATTCTTATCCTGATTAGTAGTGTTTTCGTGTTAGTGGTGGTGAGAAAGCTTGGAATTGATCTGTGTTAGTAGTGTTTCTTTTATTAGTAGTGGTGCTAAAGTGTGTAACGTATTGGTTTTGTTATCATTGGTGTTTCTTTTAGTAGTGCTTTTAAATTGTAGTTAAAGTCTTCCTAAAAGCACACACTTTAACCGTTCCAAAATGGAGAATGGTTCTCTAAAACCCTCTTCAAAACAATCGGAACTCTTAACCGTTCCAAATCCCTTAAAATCCGCCCATAATAATTGACAGATATATTTAAAAACCCAAAATAATTAATTAATGCTACCAATCCCTAAAGTACCCTTAGCATTTTCATAACCATTACATTAGAATTATAATTGGACGGTGTGGATTGAGGTTAGGACGGTGCTAACCCCCTATGGGATTAGCACTGTAGCTTTGGTGTTATAGATTAGTCTTTGGCCCTGCCGTCCCTGGTGGGTCGTTCTAAATATGATATGTTTAGGTATATCGAGGAGCGAGTCATTCAACCCCTCTAGGGGTGGAAGCAGCAATGTTTGTCATCCGCTGCTAAGGAGGTCTTTATTAAGTCTGTTGGTAATGCTTTGCCCATATATGTGATGTCTTGCTTCCTTCTCTCTCTGTCTCTGTGTCGTTTGTTGGATAGGCATTTGGCTAGATTTTGGTGGGGAGTGAAGTAGGGTGAGCAGTGGATTCATTGGGTTTCTTGGAAATCTTTGTGTTTAAGTAAACATGAAGGTGGTTTGGGATTTCGGCGATTTGAGGAGTTTAATCAGGCTTTGTTTGCTAAGGTGGCATGGCGAATTTGGAGAGAGCCCAATTCTCTGTCAGCTCGGGTGTTTAAAGGGAAGTACTTTCCCAACTCTTCTATCCTCGATGCGAAGGCTGGCTATTTACCCTCTGGGGGCTGGCGGGGGTGTTACGTGGACGTGATTTACTGGTCCAAGGTCTGCGATGGCAAGTTGGCTCGTGTGATTCGATAGATGTGCTAAAGGATAATTGGGTTCCAACATTACACCCATTTCCCCCGAAACCTCGTCCGGAGATCATTGGGGTTGAGGGATCATTTGCATCTTTAATATGTATGAATCAAGGGGTTTGGAGGGTGAATTGCTTACGCCAAATCTTTGAGGAGGAGAGTGTTCGAGCTATTCTGGCTATTCCATTGCCTATTTCTCCGGTGCCTGACCATATGGTATGGGATGGGGAGCAATCAGGTCTTTATATGGTCAAGTTTGGTTATCACTTAGCCGTGGATTTAAGGAAGCAGAAAGAGCTAAGGGTGAAGGCGAAAGTGCAGGTGTGGGTTCGTAGCCTCTGGAAAAGGGTTTGGGGGTGTTCCATACCTCCCAAGTTGCGGTACTTCCTATGGCAATTGGTTCGCAGTGTATTGTCAACTGGTGACGCACTGAGTACTCGGGGGTGGGGGGACTAGAGCAATGTCCAGTATGTGGGGAGGAGGTGGAATCTCTTGAAGATCTATTTTTCCGCTACCGAGTAGCGGTGGGGTTGTGGGAAGGGGCGGAGCTTATGGGCATTCGAGATCGCTTCCCCCAATGCAATGTTGGGATCTTTTGGCGCAGGTTACTCGAGTGGCGGGAGATTGATCAAGGGGCCCTGATGCATGTCATAGCCCTTTTCTGACGTATTTGGAAGGCCCGAAACTGGGTGAACTTTGATTTTACTCAGTACATTTTTCCGGTGTTGTTATCTCAATTTCATTTGCAGGTTGCGGGGTGGGATGACATACCTAACAACCGGGTTGTTAGCCATTACTCAGGGGGCTCAAGTGCTAGGGTCCGTGAGGATGTTCTGTTGGGTGAGTTCGTGTTGTTCGTGGGTGGAGCTACAACGCCTGGTTCTCATAGAGAGGGAGGTTGGTTTCTTCTGGATACCACGGGCATGGTGGTGGCAGCATCGGCAGCATTGTATGTGGGGATTTCGGAGCCGGCTCTTGTGGAACTATTACTTAGAGTCATATCACAAGGGGGTGATCATTTTGTAATTGCTCAAAGTTTGGAGGAGTTTTATGCCATTAAAATTTTAATCAATTAATTATATGCTATTAAGGTTCTAATCAATTAACTTATTACCATTGAATCCTAATTGAACTCAAATCAATGGTATTTGACCTAATTCGACATGGTTAAAGCGAGTTGAACTCGGTTTTTACAAATTTTGGATTGACAACAAGTTCTACACTCTTAAATCAATGGGTTGAGCCCGGGTAAGCGAGTTTTACATGCTTAAATCAATAGAGTGAGTTGATCTCGGTATTAATGAATTTTGGGTCGAGCAAGTTTTTTTGTCTTTCCTTCGCTTATCGATCACGGTTACGGTCGTTTTACTACTTTTTTTTGTCTCCGCCTTGCAAATGATTTTACCATTTTTTTTTGGTTGTGTCGGGCATGCAAATGATTTTGGAGACTTTAGGGGGTTAGAACTTTCTGTCGCAACCTTTAACTCTTTAAAATACAAGTTTTGGATTATATTTGGCAGAGTCACATTACCTAGGATTATTTTATTATATACTTTTCTTTAATTAATCAAATGTTTTAATTGTTTCTTGATAGTTGAACTAAAATTCATGTGTATTCAACCTAATTCGATCCAGTTTTGGTGTCGAATTTTGGTTCGGGATTCTACCCATCTTTTAAATATTTCTTCTCATGAAAATTGAACCCAAACTAATGTGTGTTCAAGCTAATTCGAGCGGGTGTCGATGTATCCGAATTTTGGGTCAAGAACAAATTTTACCCGCTTTTATAATTAAATAATAGGGTGTGGTGTGCAGTTTGTTAAGAAATAAGAACACACCCCGCTTTATCGAGTTAAATCCAGTGTTCTCACATTTTGGGGGTAGAGAACGCATTTCACCCTCTTTTGTGATCGACAAATTGGGTCGTGTGTGGATTATGTTAGAAACTCGACCCGCTTTATCAAATCGGTCAAAGAAATTCATGTGTGTTCAAGTTAATTCATGTGTGTTCGCAAATTTTGGGTTGTTTTGGGATTGAACCCGAATCGAACCCGCCTCTTATGATAGTTGAACCCAAAATCCCGCTTTATTGAGTTAAATCCTGTGTTAGTTGGAGTGGGTGTCGATGTATCCGAATTTTGGGTTAAGAACACGCTTTTATAATTAACTAATAGGGTCTAGTGTGCATTTTGTTAAGAACATACCCCGCTTTATTGAGTTAAATCCAGTGTTCTCGCATTTTGGGGGAGAGAACGCATTTTACCCTCTTTTGCGATCGACAAATTGGGTCGCGTGTGGATTATGTTAGAAACTGGACCCGCTTTATCAAATCGGTCAGAGAAATTCATGTGTGTTCAAGTTAGTTCATGTGCACAAATTTTGGGCCGGTTTGGGATTGAACCCGCCTCTTATGACAGTTGATCCCAAAATCCCTCTTTATTGAGTTAAATATAGTGTTGACGATTTTTTGGTCGAGGACGGTTTTACTCTTGACACTTTTGGAGGCATGAATGAATTTTATCCATTTTTGTAATCATCAAATTGGGCCGAGAATGCACTTTACCCGCTTTTGTGATCGACGGATTGGGTCGCGTGTGGATTTTGTTAGAAACTCGGCCGCTTTATTAAACCGGTAAGAAAAATTCATGTGTCTTCACAAATTTTGGGTCGCTTTGGGATTTAACCCAAATTGACCCGCCTCTTATTATAGTGGAACCCAAATTCTTGTTTGTTTAACCTAATTTGACCCGGTACCGGTGTAACCGAGTTTTGAGTCGCGAACAAATTTTACTCGCTTTTAAAAATAACGAAATGGTCGGGTGTGCATTTATTTAGAAGCACACCCCACTTTATCGAGTTAAACCAGTGTCGACGCATTTTGGGTCGATGATGAGTTTTACCCTTGTCACTTTTGGGGGTGAGAACGCATTTTACCCGCTTTTGTGATCGACAGATTGGGTCGCATGTGGATTTTGTTAGAAACTAGCCCCACTTTATCTAACCGATCAGAGGAAGTCATGTGTGCTCAAGTTCATTCATGCGTGTCCACAAATTTCGGATCGCTTTGGGATTGAACCCGCCTCTTTTGACAGTTGAACCCAAATACCCCACTTTATCGAGTTAAACTCAATGTTGACGCATTTTGGGTCAAGGACGAGTTTTACCCTTTACACTTATGGGGGCGAGAATGAATTTTATCCACCTTTGTAATCATCAAATTGGGTCGAAAAGGAATTTTACCTACTTTTGTGATCGACGAATTGGGTCGCGTGTGGATTTTGTTAGAAACTCGCCCGTTGTATCAAACCGGTCAGAGAAATTCATGTGAGTTCATGCTAATTCATGTGTGCTCACAAATTTTGGGTCGCTTGGGATTGAACCCAAATATAACCCGACTCTTATGACAGTTGAACCCAAATTCATATGTGTTCAAGCTAATTTGACATAATGACATGTACCGATGTTGTCAAGTTTTGGATTGAGAATAAATTTTATATGCTTTTGTACTTAACAAGTTAACAAATTGGGTCGGGTGAGGGTTATGTTACAAACTCGGCCAGTTTTATCTAGTTGAATCTAGTGTTGACGAATTTTGGGTCTGGGATGAGTTTTACCGCTTTTGTAATCAACGAAGTGGGTTGCATGTGGATTTTGTAAAAGCTCGCCCCGCTTTATCAAACTGGGCAGAGGAATTTGAGTCCAGTTTTCAAAAAAATTGGGTCGCTTTAGGAGTGAACCCTAATTGACCCCCGTCTTATGACAATTGAATTGAACCCATATTCATGTTTGTTCAAGCTAATTCGACCCGATACTATTGTTGCCACATTTTGGATCGGGAATAAATTTTACCCACTTTTGTAATTAATGAATTAGATCGAGTGTGGATTTTGCAACAAATTTGCTCCGCTTTATCAAGTTGAATCCATTGTTGAAACTTTTTTTTTCGTGGACGAGTTGTACCCGCTTTTGTGATCAACATATTCAATCATGTGTGGATTTTGTTAGAAACTTACCCCGCTTTATCAAATTGATTAGAGAGAGTTCTAAAACACTTTTTCGTAGAATCACATCCCAAAAAGTGCTCTTTTTGTAATTAACCAAAGATAGGAGGAGTTTTTGTGTTATTAGGGTAATTGTGTGGACTCAATTTGGTTAGTTTAGATTTATTTTTATTTTTATTTAATTCTCATATCTTTCCACTACTCATCACTCTCTCTCTCTCTTTGGTTCCTCTCTCACCCATCTGCCCATCTCCTCCTTTGTCAGCAAGACTACTGAACCAAAAGGAAGAACAAACGAGAGGAAAAACTCCAACAACAAAATACATGAGAGGGTGATTTTTATTTCATGGTCTACAACAATGGACTCAACATTCTATTCTTAAATTTTTTTCTTCATTCTACCTTAGTTTGGATTACCAGGTACTAAGGAACAAATTATTTCAATATTTAGTTTCAATTCATAGTTCACCTAAAAAAATATTCACTTTACAACAACAAATAAATAGCCCTGCCGCGCGAAGCGCGGACTTCCGTCCTAGTGTAGGTAAATATTAATGTCTGTGTAATTACTCACCAAAAAAAAAATGTCTATGTAATTAACGACATTGTTCATTATTTTTTGTTTCTATCTCGAATTATATGACACTTTCAATAGTTAAATTAACCCCAAGGATGTAAAGCACTTCTACGTTAACTTGTTTCCAGATACATAAACAACACTACAGAGTATAGAGTATATATAGTATATAGACCCAAATCATCAATGATTCTAACCTTTTCTTTTATTGGACCTGGTCACATTCTCGCAATACAAACCATCAACGAATTAATGATAGAGTCAAGAAAACAACTTCAAAAGCAAACCAATGAAAAAGGGACCAATCACCAAACAAAACCAAAACTCCTATTCTATCCCCCTCAGTTCTGGCGATCCAGCACCGACGCTCCAGCAGCAAAGAACTCCGAAATGACCTCCAACGGCATCCCTTTCGTCTCCGGCACCTTGAGGAACACGAAAACCCACGACAGCATGCACCCAATCCCAAAGATCGTAAACACCCCGGCCAGCCCCAGGCTGTTGAGCAGCAGCGGCGACGAATACGTGACGACGATGTTCATGATCCAGTAAGTGAGCGCGCAGATCGTGATGCAGAGCCCCCGAGCCGCCGTGGGGAAAATCTCGGCGCAGAGTATGTTGGGGATGACGCCGAACCCCATCACGAAACAGCTCATGTACACCACCACGCCGCCCGTCGAGATTATTGCCCTGGGCACGGCGCCCATGCTCACTATGCTGCTGAACACTAGCGCGAACAGCGCCACCACCAAGATTGGGATCGTGTACAGCATGATCGACCTGCAATTTTAATCCACGAAACGAAGCTCTCGAGGGTTAAAAACATGGCTACTCTGTTTCGGTTAAGCAGAAGTTTTGTCGACAGTTGGGTGTTATTACCTTCTGCCGGCGACGTCCATGATCCTCATGGAAATCATAATGCAGGGGAGCATTATAATTGTGGAGAAAAGGCTGATGAGGATGGAGGCAGAGTCCGATCGCAATCCCAGACTTGCTAGTAGAATCGAAACCCCTGCTTCTTGTAGGATCTGGGGTGCGTAGTACAGTACTCCGTTGATCCCCGAAATCTGTGCGCATCACATCACCGTGACCGAATATTATGTGATTAACAAATGAGTTCGTTACAATAGATGTCTTACTAGTAGAGATAGATATTAGACATAGTGAGGGTTGCGATTTAGTATATTTACCTGCTGAAGAAACTGGAGCACAACTCCGACTACCAAAGCACGCTTGATCCCAGGTTCAAAGAGGTCGGAGCATCCGGCGCCTTTACTGTCCTTCTGCGGCGGCCGTCGTCCTCCAATTTGTGGCTTCCCACCGGCAAGCACATCCTTGGAGCAAACGGCCGTCTGGCTAACGAGCGCAGCAGCGGGGACAAACTCTCCTGCCCCGATTTCCTCGACATCCATGGCGCCACCCAGGCCGGAAACCATCGACCCTCTCCTCGACCCGGCCGCCGCGCCGCCGTGAAGATACACCCTCTGAAGCCCGCCTTCCTTCTTCTTGTACGCCAGCTGCCACCCTCCTCCAATCCCGACCCCGCCGCCTTCATCCCCTGCCGCAAAAATGCTGCTGTTCCGCTGCCCATTGAACATGCTGCTTCCGTACCCCGACGGCCTCAACGACGAAGCCGTCGCGTAGTCCTTGTCGGAGCCCTGAAGCGGCGGAAGCAGCGGGCTCTTGTTGTCCTCTGAATCGTTACCGGAGTAATCGTGATCGGCATTGCCTTCTTCTTCCCCCTGCATTTGATCAATTTTGGTCAAAATCCTGATTCCGATTTTAGACTGTTGACACCTAAAATTATTTCGGCCTAAATTAAATGTCACATTAATGAGTCTAGAGTCTAGACATTTTAATTGTTTTCAAAAATCAATCGGATTAATCTACCTGATTATTGCCGGGGCCGGTGATCATGTTGAGCATGCTGGAGGTGCTGGGGAAGAACATGCTCCCGCGCATGCTTCCGAACATGGACCCGCCGCCGCCGGCGGGGAGGTTGCTCTCGTGGACGCTTCCGAACAGAGTGACGAGCGGGTCCATTAGGGGTATGTTCTGGTTCGCCATGCTCCCCTGCCGAGACACAATGCCCAGAGTGCTCTGTCCGGTCACCGGCTTCGCCACCCACGAGACGCCTTCCTCGGCGCCGTACAATCGGACTTCTCCCATCTTGTCCACCGGCGGCTCGCCGCCGTGAAGCCCGTCGTTGGCTGGCCCGATTATGTATTCTTCTATGGACGGGTCTTTCCCCACACCGAGTCCTTCCTGTAACAGAGCCATCTCCCCTGTAATTAAACAGTAAACCCATTGTCACAATTGAAGCAACTTGATGTATGATAAAACAGATGCAATGGAATGAATCAAGATGCAATCGAACTACACCATTACAACCAATGTAATTAACATTGCGATTTAAAATTTAAAACCTTACATTGCACTCGAAATTTACATTTTAAAGTTTAAAAACTTACGTTTTTAATTCATCAAATTCAAAACACTTCTACACAGAATCACAATTTTAACCACAGCTACAGCATTCTATTTGGTAAAGTAGCGAAAACAAGTTTTCTACCTGCAACATCGTCCCTGCCGCGGAGCCTCTGCAGAACGAGCTTGGCCTCATCCAACCTCCCTTTGCTGACGAGCCACCGCGGCGATTCCGGCAAGAAGAGCACCGTCAGCGCCAGAAAAGACAGAGAAGGAATCGCGAGAACGCCAAGCATCACTCTCCAATTGGGCGAATCCTGGAGCGACATGACGAACACCATTATATACGACATGAACATCCCTCCCGATCCCAGGAACTGCGGCAGAGTATTCAGCGTGCCCCTGATCTCCGACGGCGCCGTCTCGGAGATGTAGAGCGGGACGAGCGTCACGGAGAGCCCGATCCCGAACCCGTCGAGCAGCCTGGCGAGCAGCAGGATGTAGACGTTGGGCGACCACAGCATGACCAGGCTCCCGGCGAGGTAACAGATCGACGAGAGGATCAGCATCGGCCGCCGGCCGAACACGTCGGCGACCGGACCGGAGAACGTCGTGATCGCCGTCCCGCCCATCAGCGACATGGCCACGATCAGGCCTTCCATCGTTGGTTGGGACTCGAGATTGAATTCCCTCTTTATGTAAATCACCGCCCCTGTATATCAATTAACAGAGCGGGCAAAGGAAATTATGACGATGCGAAGAACGTTGTTTAGAGAGACGGAATCTGATGTGTTGGTGTTTTACCTGCAATGGTGGAATTGTCCCATCCTTGTAAGAAGTTTCCTACTGTAGCGGCGATGGCGACGAGCACCGCTCCTCTCATGGTGATTTTTGGGCTCTGATCTGAGTGTGATGTGGTGTGACGATTGTTTATTCAGCCATGACTGTTCGTGGGTAGGTTTTCACCGCGGTGAAAATTAGGAGGACGATGGGAAACGGAGAAGAACAAAACAAATCACATTCGTAAAGCCTAAATCAGTCTCGTAAAAGGGATAAGCATGAAGAGAAATCAAAAGGATAAAAACTAATCCGAGGAGGCAATTGATTGATTAGGGTAAAAACAAGTGTAATTAATTGGAATTTTTGCCGAAAAGGTAATAAAATCAAGAGGGAACTGGTAGATAAAATTTCTGGCGAAGGGGGAAGATGTGGATCCATTTCCAGCAAACAGGGGAAGAGTTGTGGAGTGATTGTGAGTAATTAGGGAAGGGTAATTTTTTTTTGGGATGGCGGTCAAACGGTTAAAGAAATCATGACACGTTTTTACAGAATAGTTGGGATTTGTTTTGTTTTTTAAATCATTTACCAGTTCCACCTACTTCTGCCAACTGGCCATTGACAATCAAGAACGACTAATTTACATGGTAAAAAAAATTACAAGGTAGCCACGTCAAGTTGTCAATACGATGTCGAATTGTTGATAGAGAAAGGATCAATCATCAATGTTTTTTTTTTTTTTTTTTTTATGGGAACCTGCACGACTTATATTCAAAGATCATCAATGTTAATAGTCAATTATAAGGTTGTGTAATATTAATCAGTTAACTTGAAATTTTGATATGTGGTATTCTTTTTGATAATTGACTCGACGTTGAGTATCACAATAAAATCTCACCTAATGTCCAACTATAAATTTTAGATGGGTGCAATACAAGGCAAGTATGTTTAAATATCGATCCGGGACGGTCCATGTACCGTTACTTTGACTGTTTGAAACATTATCTAACAAATTAGTTATGGTGAAAACAAAGGTCTAAAACTAAATTGCTTTGCAAAGGTAAAATGGATTTAACACTAGTTGAGAAAGATTCACCCGGGTGTTGCTTCCCCTAGCTAACAATTACGACTTGAAGAATCGAACGACCATGTGTGGTTAGGGGGTTATAAACCGCAAGGAAGTTTAACAAGTAGCCAAAGCTACCCTCTTAGCCTCTAGGTTGAGGAATGGGTTACGATCCAATCCACTAATGTGACCCTCTCAACCTATCGACTAAGAAATGGTTAGACTTCAGCCTCGAATTGGAGTTCGGACGGCCACCCACAACCAAACCCTAAGTGTTAATACGAAATAGGAGGTTTGCCCTTAACTAACCTAGAATAGGAGGAATAAAATGCCCAAGGAAACCCATCTCAAATAGAGCCTCTTAGGGTAAGGAGGGTTCTCTCTAAACTAGCTTAGGAGGCATTGAGTGCCCAAGGAAACCCAGCTCAAATTGAGCCTCTTTGGATAAAGGAGGTTTCCTCTCTAAACTAGCCTAGGAGGCATGAAATGCCCAAGAACACCCATTTCGAATGGAGCCTCTTAACCTATGGAGGTCTCCTCTCTAAGCTAGGTTAGAATGACAATTAGATTGATAGACTTTCACACAACACAATCATTTCTGAATAATACCTCCACATTCACATTAAAACACAACCACACACAAGTCATCAAGGCATACACATAATTGCAGCAAGGGTTTACAAACACCCAAGTGAAAGAAGCGACTACTCCATGCTAGGAGAAGGGAAAACACAAACGAGGAAAAGGAAAACCATCAAGAAGATGCAAGCCTTGCTCCTTGTGCTAAAGAAATCCTCCTTTGGGGGAGGAATTCCCAAATCCTTGCTTGGAGATGAAACCCTAACTTTTACTCTTCTTTGGTTCGTCACTTTCTCACTCTAAAATCTGAAGAAGGAGAAGTTTCTCACACTAGGTCTCTCCTCTCTCTTCTTCCTCTTAGCTGCCTTTTAAGTTGAGATCGTGCCCAGTTCACGGTCCGAGTTCACAGCTGTGAACAATGAAACGCGTCCGTGAACTCAGTGCTAAGAGCAAACGCACCGCTTCATTTGCTCGGGTTCACGGTTTGTGGCTTCTGTTCACGTCTTAGCGACCGTGAACAGCCTTGGCGCCAGTAACCTCAAAACCCTCTCTGGATGCTCCTTGGTTCGCGGATTTTGACCACAGTTCACGGCCCTGTAAGACCGTGAACTCCAATGGCAGACCGTGAATTGTGGCTGTCTCCTCCTCTTTGCCCGGTCTTTGCTCCTTTTCTTTCAATTTTCGACTCCGGGTTTGGTTTCACCTATTAGGATATGAAACACACTGAAACACAAGAAACTTCGTGTAAAACCAACCTTTTTGGAATTCAATTGCAACAAACGTCAAAAAGAATCGGGGATAAAACAATTAGGCCCGTATCAATAATGGTGAATGATGATATGTAGTAATCTTAATTAGAAATTAGGATCATAGTCGTCCTTTTGTGGCAAAGTTCGAGGTTTTAATCATAGACAATAAAGATTGTGGTTAAGGTTCATTGGCTTAGATGGGCTGTCTTACTCGTGCTTGGTTAAAGTTCGATCACTCTTGGGTGAATCTTATCACTTGAGTTATGGACCACGGTTTTATTTATTTATTTTGACAGAAGAACAAGGTTTTATTGGCAACAATTGAATCACATCAACATCAACATTTTTACAAAATACAAATCAATTGAAGTATAACTAGATTTGGGTCCGCTCGATTGGCGGTGAATTTGTTAGTTTAGTTGGTCACTATAGAGGTCAGATGATTGGATTTCGTATAAAGCCTATTGATTTTTTATTGCTAGTATGATTATGCTACCATGGTTTATTAATATTTTGATTGCAAAAGGAAAATTGATTTTGTTAGGTTTCTAGGATAAAAAATAAGAAATCTAATTCATGATATTGTTGGAGAAAAGATTTCACCTCCTAGCTATTTACATGTGAGGGAGGCGTTGGGACCAAATTCATATTTTTTTTTCAAAAGATAGAATATATTGATCGAAATAAATAGATAGTTACATCCTGGAAACCAGCCAGGCCCGGAAATCAAAGAAGCGACTCATAGTCGGATACAAAGAGAGGGCTTTTCTAGCTACCGAATGAGCTACCCTATTATTCTCCCGACCTATAAATCGCACACTAAACCTAGGATGGGCGCGAAAGTAAAGACCTATCTCTTCCAGGACAACACCCAACCGGTTATCCCTGGTGTCGGCTTGATTAATTTTATCAATAATCACCTTCGCATCGCCCTCGAACTCAGCCTTCGACAAGCCACACTCAAAACACCAAATGATAGCCTCCCAAAGCACTAGATTTCCACCACTGTCGGCTCGTCCATTTGTGGAAACTGAACCCCTTTTGCCAAAAGGAGCGTCCGCATTGGGTAAAAAAGAACCATCCCACCAGCCAAATGCGACCCACTCCTTGTGGCCCCATCCCACATGCAAACCAACCGTGAATCATCCACTTGAGTTGTTGGCTGAACCAACGGAATCGTCACCCTAGGAGCCTGGTCCGTTGGCAAGCCCACCCATTCCTCATATTGTTAGTTAAATTGGCGCATGAGCGCAGGGATCCCAAACTACTTGCCTTCAAAGACAACCCAATTACGAGACCGCCAGATCCGCCAAAGGATGGCAACAACAACCATAAACAACGACGGTTGATGGATCAGTGCCAGCAGAGGTTTGAGAAATAAAGGAAAGGTGTGCCGAGGCAAACCTTCCCCCAAGTATTCCAGCCCTGAATAGTCCTAGAGAGCCTGCGCAACCGGGCAATAAAGAAACAGATGTTTCATCGTCTTCGGTTTATCCCAGCAAACTGGACATCGGGGGAGCACAGGAACCTTTTTCTCAATAAGCTCCTCTGTAGTTGGTAAAGCCCGATTGAGAATTTTCCAGACAACGACCTTCAGCTTCGGAGGGATTTTAGCTTTCCACACCCTGATCCAACTTGGCTTATCCATCCAACTAGGCGAGGATCGCCACTCACCCCTCCTCCTGTCCAGCTCAACATCCAGATGGTAAGCCGACTTTACCGAAAAAACCCTGTCAGCCGTGTTATGCCAGATCAACTTATCAGTCACATTTTGTCGCGGAAGTGGAATAGCCTTAATGGCGCTGCAGGTGGGCGGGTCAAACCATTGACCAAGCTTATCATCAGACCACCGCCCTTTCCCTGCAAAAATGACCTCCGCCACCAAGGGATCACCCCCATCTCGCAAGATCAGCGGATTATAGCAAGGGGGATCGAGCAGGTACCTAGGAATCCCGTTAGAGTGGAGAAGAGAGGCCGATTGGCCATTGCCAACCTGCCATCTTAAACCCATCTCCAATAACTGTCGTCCATAAATGATACTCTGCCACCCCCATGAGGGGCGAGAACGAGCCGTCGTGCTCAGGAATGAACCTTCAGGGAAGTACTTCCCTTTATAGACCTGGGCAAGGAGGGATTGAGGTTCATTGAGAATACGCCAGCCAATCTTAGCTAAAAGAGCTTGGTTAAAATGTTCAAACTGGCGAAATCCCATCCCCCCGTCATGTTTACTCCTGCACATATTGCGCCAGGACACCCATCTAACCTTGGGATGGCCCTCTTCAGCCCCCACCAGAAACGGGCCACATGTCTATCTAATAGTCGACAAAGAGATAGGGGAAGCCGGAAACATGACATGACATGTAGGGGTAGAGCCAACGTTGTGGATTTAATCAATGTTTCCTTAGCCTCACAGGACAACGTTCGTTGCTTCCACCCCTGAAGTCTCTCTATTAGTTTCTCCTCCAAATATCTGAATGTAGCCATCTTGGATCTGGCAACCAACGTGGGTAGCCCCAGATATTTATCATGTGAGTGAGCTGATAGATACACGGTTTTGCTCCGTGTGAGTGAGCACCTACCAAGCAGGAGGAAGACTATTCTATTTTTACTTCTATGATCCGTAAGATTTACATATTCTGTAGATTCCTATGTTGTTTCCTGTGTATCTTGATTTATACTTTGTTGATTGGTTGTGGTTGTGCAATAGGATTGGTTACGTTTAGGTTATGCAATAGGTTTAGTTGCCATTCAATCATCCTAGGGTTCATGAATAACTATTTGGGAATTTCAAGTACCGTGGACTGTCTGCATCAGATGGAAACTGAAATGTGCCTCCTGTAATGAATAAAATCAAGGGTGAAGGTTAGGTGTTTGCCATTAAACCTTCAATTTTACTTTATAAAATCATGATAAGTGTATTGTTTACATTAATCTAATTGTATGGTCATGTTGCTTTTATTTGGTTTATTTCTTTTTGCTTATATTATACAAGTTTTCAACTCTCTTTAGATTAGAAGTTTTGATTAGAAACGCAGTAGAGTATTCTTGAACCGGCTCTAGCCCGTGGATGTGCATCACCATCATGACTATGTTCCTCATTTTCATTAACTCCAAGTAGCATAGTATGCGTGCATTCTCCCCGACTCTGCGTTTCGGCAACAAAAAAATTACACAAGTCAAACATACCTAAAAAAAAACACAAGTCAAACATATCCCGCTGCAAAGCGCGGGCTGATTACTAGTAAATCTTACTTTTTCAGCAAGCACATTGTGGCAAGTACATAAGAATCCTAAAAACCATGCTATGTTCCATTGGACTCCAATATCTAAGGGGTCGTTTGGTAGTTGTGATTGTTAAAGTTGTGTTTATTGAATACATGTATAGTGCATAATACAATGTTTGGAAGTGTCAAAGTGTAAAACAATGCATGTATTGTTTTAGGTAGGTCCTACCAACAATCTCAAAAAATGATGCATTATACAATCTCAACTAAAAGTTGTGATTGTTGATTTTAGATTTGTGTCCAATTTTCTTTCTATTTATGTCCCTATTAGTTTTTGTCTTATACTAAAAGTTGAGGATAAATATGACATTTCCCCATAAAGTAACTTTATGCAGCCCATACATGGGGTCGTTTAGAAGTTGTGATTATTAGAATTGTGTTTGTTGAATACATGTATTGTTCACAATACAATGTTTGGAAGTGTCAAAGTGTTAAACAATGCATGCATTGTTTTAGGTAGGTCCCACCAACAATCACAAAAAATGATGCATTATACAATCTCAACTAAAAGTTAAGATTGTTGTGATTGTTGAGTTTAGATTTGTGTCAACTTTTTCTGATATGATCCCAATTGGATCAATCCACAATTCAAAATTACTTGCCAAAGAAGCTATCAAGGTTGGAAAGAAGAAAGGCAGATTTTGGTTAAGTATAGAGACAGTTTCAAGGTACCAACTTTGGAGGTATGGTTCTCTTAATTGGCTCAATGAAAATTGGTGTTTGATAGCTTGTTTTGAACATAAACACTTTATCTATAAGTTGGTATGCTTGGTGGCTCAAGAGGAAGTCCAGAAGGTCATTTTCCAGACGTGTAAAAATGCTATGAAGAATTCTGGAAACTGCCAAGATTTGACCAAGGCAGAAAACAGTGTTGAGATACCAACTTTGAAGGCCTATATCTGGAGTTTGGAGCATGATCTCAGTCTGATTCAAGTTGGAGGTGAAACAGGAAGTTTTATTCTACAAAGGCAAGGAATTGGTTGAATTCGAATCAACCTAGAAGACCATTTTCTAAGGGCTCAAAGATGCTACGAAGCCTGTTTTCCTAGGCAGCCTTGCTTGCGTTTTAAGTCAGTTTCTTGGCCAGCAAGTTACCTTGTTTTGAACGAATTATTTAGCCTTTTTATGTTCTAATTAGTTTCCTAGTTCTATTAGGTTTTTATTGTCTTTAAATAGCTTTCAATTTCACGTTGTAAATCATCCAAGTTTTAGTTGAATGAAAATTGCTCCTTTGTGAGAATTGTGTTCTTTGAGAGTTCTCAAGAATCAAACCCTTGAGTTAGTCGTGTGAGGAATTCCATTGCTAATTCGAGAACCCTTGTGAGGCTTTTCTGTGAGGATTCCAGATTCGTTTTACAAGTTTCTTATCAATCAAGTAATCACCTTGATTGTGGCGAAATTCTACCTATCCGTTTTATCTTTCGTTGAAGAGTTTTGAGCTGCGTATTGTGATTATTAGAATTGTGTTTGTTGAATACATGTATTGTTCACAATACAATGTTTGGAAGTGTCAAAGTGTTAAACAATGCATGCATTGTTTTAGGTAGGTCCCACCAACAATCACAAAAAATGATACATTATACAATCTCAACTAAAAGTTAAGATTGTTGTGATTGTTGAGTTTAGATTTGTGTCAACTTTTTCTTTCCATTTATATCCCCAATAGTTTTTGTCTTATTCTAAAAGTTGAGGGTAAATGTGACATTTTCCCATAAAAGTAACTTTATGTAAATCAATGCATAAAGTAGAATCTCAACAACCAAATAATGTATTGCTAAAATGCATCCATTGTATCAATATATGCATTTATATTATGGTGATTCATTACAATGCAACGATTTAACATTCACAACTTCCAAACGACCCCAAAAGTAAAATCTCAACAACCAAACAATGTATTATTAAAATGCATAGGGTTAATATTTTCGTATGGCCTAAACTTTGACCAAAATAAACATTCTGGCCAATCTTTTCGATCTATAACATCCTGGCCCGAACTATACACCAAAATAAACAATTTGGCCAGATCCGACTTTTGACCGTTAACTTGGATGGTCAAACGCGTTGACCGTCAGTCAACACGCCATGTCACTGCCTAGTCAGCATAAAATATTTAAAATAATTCACAATTTCCACATATTCCCTAATTTTAAATTATAAATTAAAAAAAATCATCTAATACCTTAGTTAAATCAAAAATAAAAAACGAAAAAAATTTAAATATTTATTAGATCTTCAGACTTGGCAGTGACTTGACACGTTGACCGTTAGTTAACGCGTTTGGCCGTCCAAGTTAACGGTCAAACATCGGGTTTGGCCAAATTGTTTATTTTGGTGTATAGTTCGGGTCAGGATGTTATAGATTGAAAAGATTAGTCAGGATGTTTATTTTGGTCAAAGTTCAGGCCATACGAAAATATTAACCCAAATGCATACATTGTACCAGTACATGTGTTTATTTTGTTGTGATTCGTTACAATGCAACAATTAACATTCACAACTTCCAAACGAAGCCTAACACTATGTTTCCGAAGGAAGGGAGGAAAAGGAGGGGAGGTGAAGGAAAATTAGAAGGGGAGGGGAGATTTGGAGGTTAAGGAAATGGGAAGGAAAATGGTGTTTTATGAAGGAAAGTGGGAAGGAAAATGTGTATTGGGAATTGTGATGGATATGTTATTGTATTGGGTATATAATAGTAAAATAATTTGATTATATTGAGATTATTTTTATTGGTTATGAATTGTGAATTAAATTTGTACTTTTTTACTAATTTTGTTCATTATTAAAAATCAATTTGTACTTTCTTGCTAATTTGGTTCACGACTAAAGAAAAATTTCTCCATTTAGAATACAATTCATTTAAAATACTGTTCATTTTAACTCGAGTAAACATACAACTAGGAGTTTAATTACAATTATAAAAATATCAATCAAATAATAATATTTTATTAGGTAATCTTAACAATTAGAGAGCTTACAATAAACAATAATTAATTTTTTTGCCTTATCATTACACCCAACGTGGTGTAGACAAAAAAAGGAAAGAGAAAGAAGCAAGAAGAAAAAATTAATCACAATAAATGATGATACTTAATTACATTTATACTTTCATCTTTCTTATTGGGGTTAGATGTGAGTTGATGGGATTTGTATTGGGGTGAAGAAAATAAATAAAAGTAACGAAAAACAGAAAAAAGCACCAGCCCAGCCCAACTTTCCCTCCGATTTGGAGGGGAGCTTTGAACAGTCAAAATTTTTGCCACTTTCCACTCCTAGCTACTGTTTCAGACATAAAAGAACAAGGGAAAGTTTCTTGGAAATGACATTTTCCTTCCACCATCTCCCCTCCCCTACTTTTCCCTCCTATAAAAACACAGTGTAAGTAAACAGCTACATAACCTTAAAAATTAGCCGGATTTGCATGAAAAAAGAGAAGATGGAATTTCTGGTTATCAATGTGGAATGATAGGGATCCATGTGCAGACTGAAAGTTAAGAAAAAGTAGCGAGGAAATCGAAGCAATGCAGTAGAATAGCAAACACAATTGAAATAGGGTCAGAGCCAAGATTTGAATTTAGGGGGTCATTGAAATTGTTTTTGAATGAAAGTGAAATTACCTAAAGATAAAATCACCTGAAGTTTTGGTTAAAAAACAAAATCAATTGAATAATTTTGTTTATAAATTTACAATCAATTGACACGAGATTTAGTTATAGGAAATAACATAGAAAAACAACCAAGTGACTACATCTAATATATAAGTGACTGCATCTAATCTGTGGAAGATATTATACATTCTCTTTTTATTATGATTTTTATTTAAGTTTTGAAATTTCCGTATACATTTGACATTCTAAAAAAAACTATAATTTTTAGCCTCAAATGAAAAATTGGGAGGGAGACCTTAGAACCCAGTGCATTCACAACCCTTTCGAGAGTTCGTGGATGTATTGGGGCTTTATGATCTTGGTTTCTCTGGAAACCCTTTTACTTGGACGAATAGGCGAATGGGGGATGCCTGCATTCAGGTACGATTGGACAGGGGCTTGGTCTCCGACAGTTGGGTGCAATCTTTCCCTGATTCTCTGGTGGTCCATGGTACGGATCTTGGATCAGACCAAAGAGCCCTGATTGTGGCTGATAAACCCTTCGAAGGTACGGGTAAGAGATTTTTTCGGTTCGACGCTCGATGGGCGGATAATGTGGAGGTTCGTCCGATGGTGGAAAGTGTGTGGAACGAACCGGTCCAGGGATCGGAGATGTACTAGTTGTGGGTTCGGCTCAAAAAACTGCGTCATCTTCTTTTCCAATGGAGCAAGGCGGGGACCACAAACGGTGAACGTCATATTCGAGTCCTACAGGCCGAGATTGGGGCCTTGAAAGAGGATTCCCCGGTGAATCGGGATCGGGTCAATCAATTGGAGCGTGACCTCACCTTGCAATGGGCGGCGGAAGAGATGCACTGGAAACAGAAATCGAGGGTGCGTTGGTTAAGAACCGGGGATCAGAACACATCGTATTTCCATACGGTGACCCGGGTTCGGAGGAAACGGAATTTTGTGGAAAAGTTGCAACGGGAAGATGGTACCTGGGCTATGGAGGCACCAGAGAAGGCGGAGGTGGCGGTGGGTTTTTACGAACATTTGTTTGCCGCTGAGGCGAATGTCCGGGGGATCCGGGATCGGGTTGCTGCTCTCCCATTGGAGGCAAAAGTTACTGAACAAAATGAATGGTGGCCTGGTTGCGGAGGTTTCAGAGGAGGAGATCCGGAAGACGGTCTTTGGGATGGGGTCGTTGCAGGCGCCGGGGTCGGATGGTTTTACTGGAAAAAATTTCAAGACCTTTTGGGATATCGTAGGCGAGTCGGTGGTCTCGGCTGTGCGCTCATTCTTTCAGAATGGGCATATCTTACGCAGCTTCAACCATACCTGGCTTACATTAATTCCGAAGGTTGAGAATGTCGAGACTATGCGCCAGCTACGTCCCATTAGCTTGTGCCAATTTGTTTACAAGGTAATTACCAAGATCATGGCGGAAAGAATGGCGGCAATACTGCCGCAAATTGTGTCCTCGGGGCAGAATGGTTTCATTACGAAACGTCAGATTGTGGATAATATATTAATTGGGCACGAGCTCATGCATTACCTCAAGAATAAGCGGTCGGGGAAGAAAGGATTTATGGCCTTGAAGGTGGATATGGAGAAAGCCTATGACAGGGTTGAATGGCCTTTCTTACTGGCAGTTCTTGAGAAATTGGGGTTTAGTCAAATTTGGGTCCGTTGGGTGAAGGAGTGTATTTCGACGCCTCCTTTTTGGTCATGGTGAATGGTAGTCCCTCCGGGTTCTTTCGTTCCACGCGGAGGCTACGTCAAGGGGATCCTTTATCGCCTATGCTCTTTGTAATATGTACGAAAGGATTATCGGCCCTGCTGCGTCAGGTCATTGACCGAAAAAGACTAGAAGGGGTACGAGTGAGCCCCCGGGCGCCCTGGGTCTCTCATCTTCTATTTGCGGATGATTCCTACCTCTTCCTGCGAGGTTCTCTTCAAGATTGTCACAACGTGATGGCGGTACTCCATGATTATGAGGCGCTGAGTGGACATCGGGTTAATTTGGCTAAATCAGCTGTCTGTTTTAGTCGGAACATTGTTGGGGTGGATACGGAAATCATGGGTCATTTCCTAGGGATTGGCGCAATCGGGGTCCATGATAAGTACTTGGGACTCCCTACGTTGGTGGCTAGGTCGAAGTTTGATACCTTTCGTTTCTTGGAGGAGAAGCTACTTGAGCGGATTAAGGGTTGGAAGCAGAGGCATTTGTCGTGGGCAGCTAAGGAGACGCTCTTAAAGTCAGTGGCGGGGGCTTTGCCAATCCATGGGATGTCGTGCTTTAAGTTGCCGTTGACCCTTTGTCGGAGGATGGATAAGCATATGGCTAGATTTTGGTGGGGATCCTCGGGGGGTCGGTCGGGCATTCATTGGGTATATTGGCGTCGTCTTTGTCGTAGTAAGCACGAGGATGGAATGGGGTTCCGGCGATTTGAGGAGTTTAATCAGGCTTTATTAGCTAAAGTGGCATGGCGAATTCTTGATGAACCAGATTCTTTGCTGGCCCAGGTTTTCCAGTGGGAAATATTTCCCTCAGGGATCTATCTTGTTGGCTAAACTGGTCTCTCGACCTTCGTGGGCTTGGCATAGCATTCTCCATGGTGCTCGTTTATTGATGAAAGGGTTGGGGTGCCAGGTTGGGTCTGGGGAATCAATTCCCATCATGTCAAGTGGATGGATTCCTCAAATTTTCCCGGGTCTTCCAGAGTTGCGAGTTGGGAGTACCTTAGTTGGTGGGGAGTGTGTAGTTTCGCTAATAGGTCAGGAAACACGATCGTGGTGCCAAGAATGTCTTGAACAGACATTTAGTATGGACACGGTGCGTGCTATCCTCCAAGTCCCGATTCCACGCACCCCGAGTGAGGATACGTGGGTATGGAGGCTCGACCCGTCTGGGGTATATACTGTGAAGTCAGGGTATAGTCTAGCTGAGAGCCTGAATCGCGCTTGTATGAGAAAAAAGCCAGGGTGTGATCCGGTGGATAGGGCGTTATGGATGAAAGTTTGGGGCCTTGAGGTTCAGCCCAAGCTGAGACTTTTTATCTGGCAGCTTTTGCAACGCACTCGCCCGACTATGGAGGCTTTGATCCAGAAGAAGGTCTTGGTGCTACCACGATGTCCTGTGTGCTGGGCTCCTGGAGAAAACATAGAGCATTTATTCTTCTCATGCCCGGTGGCGGTGGCTATGTGGGAAATGTTAGGATTGAGGAATGACTGGAGGATTGGTCAGGATCAGGCGTTCCCTATTTCTTTCGTGGTTTTATAGAGCGGGACTCTTCTCCAGCACGAATGGTTCGTCTTGTTTGTCTTCTCTGGAGGATTTGGAAGTCTAGGAACTTGGTGGCTTTTGAGGGACAGCAAGATACATTTGTTGTATTGGAGAGGCAATTCAGGTTTCAGGTTCAGGAATGGTTGGATAGTGTGTCTCCGGGTAGTGGGAGAGTAGCTGATCAAGCAGTGCAGGTAATTGATCCGGGGATCGTGCCAGGTGAATACAGGTGCGCCTTTGATGGGGCGATCTCTACTGGTTTGCATGGATCAGCTGGGTTTGTTCTGCAGGATGAGGCAGGTGGGATTCTAATGGCACGGGGGTCGGGTCTCTCAGGTTTGGTTGATCCTATGTTGGTGGAAGCGATAGCTCTTCGAGAGGCACTGTGCTGGTGTGCGGAGGCTGGTCTTTCGACGGTTCAGTTTGTCGGTGATGCGAAGGTGGTGATCGACAAAGTTAACACAGGGGCCATCAGGGACCCGAAAGCCGGGGCTATCCTGCAGGAATCTGTCGGCTGCTGGGGACTAATGTTGGGTTTAGAGTGATTTTTGTAGGTAGACAGAACAATAGGGTGGCCCATTTAGTGGCCAAAAAAGCCCTCGATTTGTTTCCTATCGGGAGTGTTGGTTTTGATTTTCGAGCGTGGTTGTGCTCGGAAATTGGTTTGATGTAACTTTTTTGTCTTGTTAATGCAAGTATCTTTTCGAGAAAAAAAACTATAATTTTTATATTCTTTTTACGATACTTAATTTTATATTGAAATGCACCTCAATACTCTATTATGACCTGATTCTCTGATACAATCACAAAGAGATTTTGTTTAGTTTATTATTCTATGACACTCTTTTATATTTATTTATTTATTTGTGTCGATGGATTAAAACAAACTAGTCAATTTTTGGGGGAAATGTTGCCGATAGTCAGGAGGTCATTAACTAATCGAAGAGGTGTGCTAGCTTAAAATAGATCGCCGCCGGCCAGGCAAGACAGGGCGCGCCTTCCCGGCCGGACAGAAGAATCCCAAATGGTTTGGCGAAGCCCTAGTTGACGCCCGATTATTTCTTGATGGGATTGTAAAAAAGGACGGGCAAAAGAAAATCCCGTTCTCACTCGGGCTCAGTTATGGTGGCCGATCAAAAAGGAGTATTGAGCATTGCAGTTCCAGGAGTGGAGAAACACCACTATCAGGCATCGGCGACAGCAACTGGTCTTAATTATTATGGCCTCTGCACCTTCGCCGGAATATTCAGTGCCGGCACTACCCATCTCGCTATCACGCCTCTCGATGTCATCAAAGTCAACATGCAGGTCCTTTCCTCTCTTTCCGCCATCTCTTCCCCTTTTTCATTGGGGACTTTCCTCGAACACCTGGGCTACATTTCTATTCTCCTCATTGCACCCTCAATTTTCGTTGATCCTTCGAACCCTTTTACGGAAATGACGAAAAACAATGTCATGCATGAAGATTTGTCTGAAAAAAAATCCCCTTGAAACTCATTTACAGCTGAATCCAATCAAATACCACAGCATATCCACTTGCTTCACCACTCTACTGAAGGAGCAAGGGCATTCCACGTTTTGGCGAGGCTGGGCAAGCAAGTTCTTCGGCTACGGCCTCCAAGGTGGCTGCAGATTCGGGTTGTACGAATACTTCAAAACCCTCTACTCAAATGTCATCCCTCCCGACTACCAGCGCAACCGTAGCATCATATTCTTCACCAGCAGCGCCACGGCCGAAGTCTTCGCCAACCTCTGCCTCTGCCCTTTCGAAGCCATCAAGGTTAAAGTTCAAGCACAGCCACATTTCGCCAAGGGACTGCTCGACGGCTTCCCAAAGCTATATGCATCCGACGGCCTCCTTGGGTACACTACTACTCTCAAGTCACCATTCCTTTCCACACAATCCGCACTCTTCCTTTTCTAACTTGTGTGTTTTCTTATTGGTGACAGTTTCTACAGAGGTCTTGTCCCACTCATGGGTCGAAACATTCCATGTAATGTTGCACTCAACCTGAAATCTTGACCTACTTTTTTCCAGCTGAATACCACTTTACACATTCTCTTACATTTGCAGTCTCGATGGTGATGTTCTCGACGTTTGAGCACACGGTGGATTTCCTATACCGCAAAGTGGTGAAAGCGAGGAAGGAGGAATGCACGAAATGGCGCCAGCTAGGGATCACATGTGTGGCTGGATATGCAGCTGGCTCTGTCGGCAGCGTAATAACTAACCCCGCCGACAACCTTGTTACTCATCTTTACAACAGGAAGGGGGATGGGCTTATCACGGTACGTGTATGGACGTAGTGTGATATGCTGGCTAAGTTTGGTTATGGTGATGGGTAGGGGATCACGTAATTAAGGTGATGCTCCCAACGGTACAGGCATTGCCCATATGGTGGTGGTGGTTAGCTGTTTCCTTCCCTTACTTTGCTGGTCTGTTTTGGATCGTTGTCCCTCTTTTTTTTTGGGGGGTTCACATGGGTCTCGTTGTTTTTTTGCAGGCTGTGAAAAAGATTGGTTGTCTCAACTTGTTTACGAGGAGCCTTCCCATCAGGGTAATCCTCGTTGGACCTGCCGTGACCCTGCAGTGGCTGCTCTTTGACAGCGTTAAAGTTTTCAGTGGCTTGTAAGTTGCAGTGTTGCTTGCTTGACATTAATCGTGCAGTCCGAGTTCTGAATTCGTTCGGGTGGGTAGGAACTTATGCTGTTTCGCGTGAATGATCGTCCAGGCCAAGCAGCGGAGAAGTCAGGACTGACGTTGGATAGCACGAGCAGGGTATCGGACAACGTATGCAGGATCGCAGGCCGAGGAATTACAGCTTAACAGCGCTCTGGTATCAGAGTTTCAGCACAGGGTTACTGATTTTTGTTCCTTCTGTATAACTGGGGAGAGGATCAAATCAATGCCGAGGCTTTAAAATAAAAGTTCACCGAGTGAACGAATTATTACATCTGGGAAACCATTTGTTAACTTCTCGATTTCAGTCTGTAATGACAAATTATGAACAAAGCAAATTAATGCAACTGTTTTAACTGTTAAAACTACACCACATCTTATTCCCAGTATGCCACAATAATGAAGATAAACAAACAGGATAATACAATTGCTGGAAGAAGGAATAAAAGACAACGTATAGCAGCAACCAACAGAGGAGATGCTGATCAAATTCTACACTTCCGGAGGGGGGTTCTGCAATTGCCATTGCTGTTGAGATTGAGATTTGCCCACCGACCTGCAGCTGCACCTTGCTCGACCAGCTCTCTCGTTCTTCTGTACCATAGCACGAGCTTTTACTAGCTCATTTGCAGCAGCCATCATCTCAGAACCTTTGCAGGCCAGAGACACTATGTCAACTGTAACTCGCCTTTCGCGATCAAGTGCTGCTCTATGCCTGTGAAATGTACAACTCCAGTCAAATCAGACTAGGCTTTTACATAGTCCATGCCGTCGCGCTTCCTTTTATTCGACTCCGAGAAGCAGCACATCTGAGCCCAACTCTTTCTCTGCTTGACGGCTGGCTGCGCCTTGACGTCCCTTTTCTCTACCATATCCGCCATGAACTGCACAACAGCCTAAACACAAAAGTTCAACAGGTTTAGTTGCAGTTATTAGGATTCTCTTCATTTACTCAGATGAGTACAGTGAGAGAAAGAGAGCTATAATAATTTACCTGAGCACCTTTGTCTGCAACATGCCTAGGCGGCAACTCAAGGGGATTCTCTTCCACCCTCAGAACCCTCAACTTAGCAAGCAACCTAAACGAGTCCGGAAGAAACCGTATCTGATTATTGCTTATATCCAACTCTTCCAGATTCGCAAGATTGCCAATTGACCTCGGCAGGTACTTGAGGTCAGCAAAATTGTTCCCCACATTCATCTTCACAAGCGAAGTGGCGAAACACAAGCTCTCGGGCACTGCCTCGAGCTCGTTGAAGCTAACATCGAGCTCCTTCAAATTCTCCAGGGACGACATGGTCGTAGGGAGCTGCCTGACATTGTTGTATCTCACAGATAAAACCTCCAGCGTGCCTATCTTCCCCACAGCTTCAGGGAGTGCTTTCAGCCGGTTGTAGTCTGCACGAAGCTCCTTGAGCGAAGTACAGTGGCCGATCGTGTGTGGGAGTTCTTCGACCTCGTTCGTCTCGATGCTTAGTTTCTTGAGGCTAGCGAGTGATCCTATTGAGTCTGGAAGGGTGGAAATATAGTTGGAGGTAAGATCCAGCTCCTCGAGACGTACTAATCTTCCGATAGTGGAAGGAAGTGCGGATAATTGGTTAGCTCGGAGGTCCAGGAACACCAAACTCAGTAGATCTCCAATGGAGTCAGGTAGTTGAGCGATTCTGTTGGAATGGAGATCCAATCTCGTCAAGGAAGAGAGCCCGCCGATGGAAGGTGGCAGGGCGAGAATCCTGTTCTCTGACAAATCTAGGGTTACCAAACCCGATAACTTGCCAATTGAATCTGGCAGCCATTCAATTTGTTCCATCAGCCGGCTACGGAGATTGAGCTCCGTCGCGCCTCTCTTCGCCGAGACCTCGATTACGCTGGCGAGCTTAATCAGACTCAATTTGTCACCGCCATCTTGACCTACAAACGGTAAAACCGAATTTGCAGATTAAAATCCAAACCGCGCGAGTAATAGTCCAATTGGGAAACAGAGAAATTGGTGGTGTTTGCGAATTGAGATGCTCGCTCACCTGAAGCGGTAATTGTGGATCTCAGGGTAGGATCCAAAACGGTCGGTTCACGAACACCAATTCCGGCAGCGGCTGCAGGTCCTTCGGAGTAGAACATTGGCTTGGTCTTTCTCACGTAGCTGTCATCTCTGGTAACCAAATCCGCCGCAGATGCTGCTGCCGCCGTTGCCGGCCGTTTCTCCGAGAAGTACAAGGCGGACGTAGTTGTCCGGGCGGAGGAGGAAGAGGAAGAAGCGGAAGCAGGCTTCGACGAACTGCTTCCATTAGCAACGGCGGCGGCGGCAGAGGATGGGGCATTAGTGCGATAAGGAGCGGAGGAAGAGGTCGAAGAAGAAGAAGGGAGACACATGGAGGCTCTCTGGATCAAATCGTCGAACAGAGAGTGGAGGCCTTCGAGTTCCAATAACCTCAAGGCGTCACGCTTCTGGTCCTTGCTCCGGAAACCGACGGAGGTCTTCTGCATCTCGACGAGAATGGAGAAGAGCTCTTCAGGGACATCGGAGCTCTTCCCCTGCCTGGAGATTGCATCCAGCCTGGCCTGGTCTTCTTTGTCGACGTTCTGGATCAGGTCCTTGGCCGCCTCCACCTCGTCGATTGAAGGCCTCGGCGGCAAGGATCTGTGAATTCTCATTATCTCGGCCACCACTTCGTCCACGGACTGAACCTGCGGCGTGTCCATTTTGCAGCGGCAGGGGAGGAGGGGGGCGGTTGCGCCTGGTGGTAGATTTAACCGGCTTTCCGATTCAATTACACCGGCGGCGGCGGAGGAAGGGGAGAAACTGCAATTGTTGGAGCTATTTTGTTTCCATCTATTTGGGGATGATATTGATGGCTACTGCAAGCAAAGCAGGCAACGGAAATAAATGAGAGGGAGCGAGGTAAAGGAAGTGAGCAAAGCGTTTGGGTTTTGAAATGGGAGGAGAGGGGGGCTTCTTTGAGTTTCTAGAACTGGATATGGGCAGAAGTATTTTAAATAATTAAATAGAAAACGAAAAGGCCGTAATAATTCCTCAAAAATAATTGTTTTGAGTTTTGACAGTTTATTTATTTATTTGATTTGTTTAGAAGGGGTACGTATTATTCTGTCAACTGCTGTCGACCGGAGGGAAATAGGGAAGGGACAGTTGTAAATGCAGCGGAAATTATAAATCATTTTTAAAATACAAAAAAAAAACGAATCTATTTTTTGAAATTCGGAGTGGGAAATTTTTGTGCAAGAACGGAATTTCGTAGTTCGCAAGGGCGAGAGTACAGCGAAACTAGGTAAAGCTGCGCCGGCATGACTGCATCAACAAAGATCGTCAGGCTGTCGTCCGACTGTTTTCTACTGTCATTTTTGTATGGATATGCACGAGGTTTAGAGATAGAAGATGCAGCCATATCCAATCCTCGATAGGAGGGAGGACAATCTCAGTTCATTTTGATTAGTATTAGTTGAATTTGATTAGGAATTAGTGAGTATGGCAATTAGTATCGAAATCTACCGACACTAATTAGGAATGGCAAAATAGGAGTAACTTTTGGCACATCGGAGCAAAGTCATGGGAGTGATAGATACGTTGGTAAAAGCCGAAAACGTTGGGCTAGCTAGTGGTTTCAGTACCTCCCATAGATAGCTTATATGTAAATAATATTGTTTTTTTTTTTATTTTGTGGAAATTTTGTTGAGAATTTTATATATGTATCCACTTCTGCTGCTTGCTTCCTGCTAGCTTCTTCCTTGAGGTACAAGATCTGTCCAATAATTTAACATAAATTGGGGGATTCATTGCACCTTTATAACTATTTTTATATAATAATAGCTTTTTTGCCACTTACACTCTCTTTTGGTGCAAATTTGGGAAGAGAGTGAGATCGGAAAGATGATCGATTGATGATGATGATGATGGGGAAATTAATTAAAAGGGAGGGATGCGAGTGGGAACAAAAGGCGTGAAGTGGAAAGCGACGGATGAAGTAATGGACATGGAGATGGAGGTAGGGGTGGTTATACGGTCCGGTTCGGTTAAATTGGATCAAATTGATCCGGCCTCAGTCCGGTCTTTTTGAGAATATAAGGACCACAGATTGGATTGGATACAGTCTGGTCTTGATCAGGTCTGGTTTTGACCCGGTCCGATCCTAATTTTATCTTGAATTTAGGTGTTGGGGGTCTCTTATCCGGTTTTTTACCTCAAATCTAAGCCAAAATATGAGATTGCATTGTTTGCTATCCGGTCCCAGTCCGGTCCCGGTCCGGGTTATACGGTCCGGTTTCGGGTAAAACCAAACAGTCCGGGACCAAATAGCCAGCCCCAGATGGAGGTAGGGGTGTCAATTCGGGTTCGGTTTTTTGGGTTACCCGAACCGACCCGATTATATACATTTTTGGTTCTACGGGTTCGGGTTCGGGTTCGTTTCGGGTTTTGGGTTTTTCGGTTTTGGATTCGGTTTTGCTTATCGGTTTTTCGGGTTCCGGCTACAAATCTCCAATGAATAGAACTCAACCCGTGTTTTTAGGCGTTCGGGTTTTCGGGTTTCGGTTTTGCTTTAACCGAACCTGAACCCGATAAGGAATTTTCGAGTTTCGGGTAACCGGAACCCACAAGTCCTTATCGGGTTCGGGTTCAATTTTAGTGATATTCGATTTCGGGTTTTTCGGGTTTTTTCGAGTTTCGGTTTGGGTAACCAAACCCGACCCGAACTGACACCCCTTGATGGAGGTTGGTTATAATAAGCTTTTCATGGAGCTAAGGGGCGATTGCAGCAACGGGCCTGCCTGATGGTGAAAGTAGTTTACTGCTAACTTCTCCAATTGGGATTTATTGCGTATTAAGGTGAAAGGGAGGGAGAGGGGAAGGTGACGCTGCGACGGGCCCGGATAGCGATAGGGCTCGGGCTTGACTCCAGGATATCATGGGCTTGGAGCCCAGATGATGGGCCAAGACTGGTCGTAACTGGCCTGCGTTGGCCCGAGACGATGCAGGGTAAGAAGCACTGACGTGGGCACGTGGCAGCTTCTAGCTGATGTTGTGGATGACCGACCTGAATGGACTCAAAAGTCAAAACTTTGTCGCTGCACCTCTTCTGTTCCGAGCAAGATCTCTGCTTAAGATCGGGGTGTGGAATTTAGGGTAATGAATTTAGAGTTCGAAAACCTTACCCAAGAGAAATTTAGAGTTCGAAAACCTTACCCAAGAGAAATTGAGGGTATGAATGAGAATGGACGATCTTAGTGTGAAGACCGCAAGCAAATGATCTATAAAAAATAGCGCAAATCATAAGCGTACGAGCTTGGATTTGCACTTTGGACGAGCAAGTCGAAAAAGGAAATTAGAGAGAGGCTAGGAGTTAACAATATGTAAGGATAGTGATGGCAATTTGAATCCGCCTCGTGGGTATTATCCGACCTGACTCACGATGAGGTGGGTATTACCGGTCCTGCAGTAGCGTGGGGCGGGTCATGAGTATCTACTTCCAACCTCTCTGTTCCGTCCCGTTCTCGGCTCATTCTATCTCAATTTCTTACAATAATTGTAAATATTTTCCCTATTTTTGACTTTTCGTCAATTAGTTAGAGTCAATCTTTCAACTTGTTAGACTCAATTACTCATTCTATTATCACTACTTTTCATTCATCTAATGTTTTCCCTTTCGTTTTATAGTAAAAAGTAAAATTTGCGTGTATTTTTTTCAAATAACATGTAAGATTGGGTCGTCCCGCAATAACGTGGGGCAAACATGGATATTGAGATACTCGCCCCGCCCCATTGCCATCACTATCTGCGGATATATAGAAGACTGACGGGCTGGATTGTGTGCTTAAATTAATACATTAATAATTTCAACATTTTATTAATATTTTACAATTATATTATTTACGATTTTAGTTCAATTACTAACAATTTACCTTTTCTTCATCAACCCTTATGAAGGAATTATTAAAGGTGTATACACAAATGACATGTAATCGAAGTACTAAAATTCCTAGATATATCTAGAGTCCTATTCCACATGATCTTCAAGGTGAAGTCATAAAACCAACTCAAGAATCTCATCATCCTTCTTGCATTCTCCAAATCAATCGACTCGATCATGCGCCCCAATTACACTATGTCTATCATTCTGCCAAATTCTTGCGAAATCATCATGCATGTCATACATGATACATCATAAAACACATTCTAAAAAATTTCAGCAACTTGCAACAACAACAAAGGCGAGTTCCACCTCATAGGAACATTAAGACATAAGCCACATTTACCTTCAATCGTCTGAACTGTGTCAAGCTCATTAATTTTTCTCAACCTCTTTGGTGAGTTTCTCACAAACCTCATAGCTTCTCTAATCCTCTTCACATACAAAGAAATGTCTCTCAATCCATCAAATACAACCAAGTTTACGATGTGAGCCACACCTCATATGAAGGAAAAAAATTATTGCATATACTTACAAAGGAAGTTATGTCTGAATCTTCCATCGGTTGACTGCATGTATTGGATATTTGACCATTTTTTAGTTGTTTCCTTTTCGTTTTTTGCTGACTTTGGCTAGTATCATGGTCGTCATTTTTTTTATCTCACCGAAATAGGGGGGAATCTATAAAACAAATGGTGATGCAGAGATGGAGACGCGGTGGATGTGGGATGGCTGGAGGGGAATGGAGATGGCGAGAGGGATATAAGTTGCCGACTTATCAAGGTCTTGCCACCGCGGGGACATGAAGGAGTTGCTGGGGGCCAGCTAGTGGTTGGATGGCAACACTAGAGATGGAGGAGGATGAGGGCGAGCTTTGCTTGGGTGGGAGTAGGAGGGAGGTAGGGTGACGAACCAGAGTCAGCCATCTTGAGAAGAAATCGAGTGATAATCCTTGGGATGCCTAGGATCATATTTCACGAGGTCTTTTGATGGTAGCTACTCAAAACTAGTGATTGAATGAGTAACAAAAAGTAAAACAATGGGTTGAGGTGCCCTGACTCGCTAAAACACAACACCAAACTACGACCAAGTATAATCGCAGTTCGGAAATGCAGAGTAGTGGGTAAGTTTAATTTATCAACCTAGGGCCTAGATCTACTGCGTACTCCGTGAACTTATATTATCTAGCGGAACTAAGTGAAGTTGAATTCAAATCAAAAGAGAAAGAAAGCAGTAAATTGTCCTGTTTTCTAAAGCAAGAGAAGAGTTACTCGGGAATGAGTCTTCCTAGCTCCTTAGTTAGGTCCAAGTTGTAATTTCCTTTGGTTGATTCACTGTTGATTAAACTGCGGAAGATCCGATCGTAGCTTGGCATCTGTTAAACTGACCAAGCCCTCTCAGACAGACTAATCGGCAAACGACTAGTATTCACCGGGATAGAATGCTAAGGCAATTAACACAGAACTCCACTACTGGAAACATATTCCAGTACAAAGCAGTGAATAGACTAACTCTTGTGTAATCAATTCACTCCTATCAATTGAAGAAGCTCTAACAACCTATTCAGATTCTATCTATCATAGGTTGCAGCAGAAATCAAAAGAAGTTGATTAGGATTCAATTGACTCAATAAACACGCTTCAATAGATTAAAACCAATCAGTATATCAATCCAACAGTCATTACAACTCAAATCTCTAACACATGGAACTAGGTTTCTTCATACCCAAGTGAGAGAAAAGTCTACTCCATAGAGAGAGAAACGAAAACAACAATTAGAGGAATCATACTTAAAATGATGTATACGATAAGCTCTAGGATGATAATCTTCACTCCAAGGCTGAAATCCAAGCTTGATTGATGAAACCCAGCTCCAAAGTCGATCCTAAGGTTTATTCTTCGCTCTTTCTCTCTCTGGAACTCTATTTTTTCTCTGAAAATTCGATTCTCCTCTCAAAAACCCGAAATTGGGTTAAAACTAGAAATTCGCGATCACACGGCCGCGCAGATTAGCTAGCATGTCCGTGTAACTCTCCAAAACGTGACGTTTCATTTAGTTGTGAAGCATGACTAGGACTGCACGTCCGCATGGAAACTTGACTTGCATGTGCGACTCCCTTGGACACCCCGCACGGCCAAAGGCACATTCCGCACGGGCAGTACCGCCTTGATCATGCAAAAGGTGTTACACGGTTAAGTTGCACGGCCGTGTGGAAACATGATCAGGCTGTGTAACTCCTCTACTTCCCATCGTATGTCCAAACTTCGTCCAATCGACCCCAAATTCGTGTCCAAACCTCCATCAACGTACTCGAACCTGAAATATCGTTAACAAGAATAACCTAGCATGAAATCGGTTTAAAACACCAGAAATGAGGCTCAACCCGTATAAGAATGGTGGGTAAAAATGTGTGCAAATATCTAGTTATCATGCCCTATGAAATTTGAATAAGCCACTAAAGAAAACAAGAATAAACGAGGTAAAGAGTGAGAGTAAAGCAAGTAAGAGACAATTGTCTAGGAAGTATAATCTAGATGAGCACGCATAATGTCTCCTAGATAAGATGCATATATTCATTGATGTTATGATAAACATCTTATCCCTTACACTAAGATCATTCCCTACCCGTGCATGCGCCTCTTGCGATAGGGATTTAACTAGCTAATGAGTGTTTCCGCTTCATGCAATCAACTACTTAATAAAGTACAAGGAAGTAAGGATAGCACATCATTAAGTGTGGGCCTCTTGAGCCATAACGATGTTCTATGGGGTGGTCTTAGGCATCAAGCATCATCATCATTCGAGCCATAGAGGGTTGTACTTCCCCTCTATAAATGCCAAAATGATGATGCCGACTACAAGAGATTAGTTTTCTTGTCTCCCATGATGGTATTATAAGCAACACACATAGTACTGCATCATAGAAAGATAACAAGCATACAAAGAACTAGACCATCGATGCCCCAAAAAAGACCATTGATGCTCTATGGCATCTCATTAACTCATAGAAAGGAATAGATCACACATCATAGAATCAACATCCTAAACAACAAAGGGCTTAGTTAGCCATGCGAGGTTGAAGAGGAATCACCAATGATGGAGTCAATCTCTCCTCAATCCGACATAGATTCAGTTGTTTTTAGTGGCAAAGTTAAGTTTGAATTGAAGTTTAAGATCCTATTTATAGTACACGAAAGAGGGGTTAAACTAGGATTCGGATTATCTAGTTTACTTGAGGCTGAGGTAAGGCTTTCTCGACCTCTATGAAGGCTTGGGCTTCTGGTAGCGATAGGGACCGCGACTAATTTTCTTCTTGGGCTGGCCTTTATTGGCCCATGGACAACCTCTCCTGGAGATTTTATTGCATTTTTTCCAGGTTACCATGGGCGACGGTTAGACCAATTGCTGGGCTGCCTCTGGTTCTGCTTATGCTTGGGTTGAATCTTCCTCCGTTGATCTTCTTTTGGGCTCATATTGTGGTTACTAGTAGGCTTTTTCGTCATTGGACCTCGTCTTTATCATGAAAACTCCATGTTCTTCTCTTTATAGCTCATTTGGTCCGTTAGAGTTTTCCAATGCTTGATTCAAGTTTCCTCAGTCTGCTTTGTACTTCGAAAACCACCATATATACCAAGAAGGCATCAAATAGTAGTGCTCTATTAAAGACTCATTGATCAAATTGTTATGATGGAGATATGAAATACAAGAGAAAGGACTAAAGATGCATTGATAAAAGGGGGAAATGTATAAAAATGTGAGTAATAAGCACTATAAATAAAGTGTCATCACATCTCTCACTTTCTCTTGCCTCTCGCTTACTGCTCAGGGTTAGAGATTATGAGTTAGAGTTATGGAGAGGATGAGCTTAGATTATGTTAAAATTCAGATGGACTGTATGCTTAGGTAGATAAAGGGTTTGGGCTAGGTTGTAGCAGTAGGGTTGGGGTTAGGGGTGGGTTTGTAGCTGAGTTGTCTGTTGTTCAGAATTCTGAACCAAACTCCGAACAAAACATCATCATTTTGAATTCTAACTCACATATGCTCTTGCGTCGATTCAGTTGGTCCGGTTAAACCAAACCTAATGTCGCCCTTACTAGTCGAGATCTAGCTTCCCTTGTGATTTTTCCTTAATAAATACTGCAAAAACATTAATTATTCTTGTAGTAGGATCAACCCACACGGGGGGTAGGTGGATCCTTGTTTTACAAAGTGATAGTTGTAATTAGGTGAGCCATGTACCCAAACTCTAGGGATAATTGTGTTATGTCATACACTCTTTATCTCCTCTATCAAAGTCTGGCCTTGCCTTTGGTCGGGCGTCCCTTTGGGAGCGTGTTAGAAACAAGTTTCTAACGGGTCTCTAGATCAGATATAGAGATTGAGAATTTAGGGTTTATAGAACATAATTGGGGATTTAGGGATTTGAGAAGAGAATTTGGGGAAGAACAGAAGAGAATCAGCCTAAGCCTTTAGAGGGATTAAGGTCAAGAATTGAGAGGATTGGGATAGGAATTTAGGGAGATAATTCTTTATTAACTTCTGCTTAATATGACGAATGACCCAAAGTACATATATATAGGAAAATACTAGAAAACCCTAAGAATAAACCTAATTCTACTAGAAGACTACAAACCATAATAAGAATTATCCTAATAATAATTATAATAATAAATATATAAACCCGATATAAATCGGTTTCTAACATCTCCTCCCCCTTCAGACCAACCTTGCCCTCAAGGTTGACCGACTTGATCCGTTTTTCTGCCTTGATTGGGTGATTCGGGTGTCTACTCCTCCGCGTCTTGCACTTCCTTTTCTTCCAATCTGGTTCGAGAATTCGAACAAATCCCCCACCAGCAACTCTGACTTTCGTTGATTCCTCCCTAGCCACATGGCCCTCATTAAACACCCTGAAATCTTCAGTAGACTCCTCTATAAATTCCTTCTCGTGCTTGGTGGTGAAGACGAGTTCTTTTAAGCTCCATTCTTCTCCAAGTTGATTTGAATTAACCTTTATTGAAAGCTCAACGAGCCCACCACTTTCCTTCTTCATCTTCTTTTCTTGCAAAACAAATCCAACAAGATAGCCCATTGATGCCCCACAACCCTCCTGGAAACTCGGCCCAAATCTAAACCAAACAGACTTAACCAATGGGCCCCTTTTAAGCTCGCTTAATTGCTCTGTGTGTCTTGATCTAAGCCCAACCATTTTTTCCCCAGGACCAGCCCATAAGTTTGGCCCGCTTCGGCCCAGCTCCATTCTAGCGTCGGTTTGCTCTGCTGGTTCAACCAAACTCGGCCCAGCGTGAACCCAGCTGTGCGACCCAAGTCTTCTCGACCCAACTCCACCTGTAGCTGCCGCCTAGGGTTCACGAGAGGCAGAGGGTCGCGGCCGCCGCCCTCCTTCTTCTTCGACGCCGCTTTCTCCGACTCCTCATCTCTCGGCGGCGAACCACCCGACCCAGCTGTTGTCTTCAACTCCGACTGGTAATCTTACAACGGCAAGAGCTCTGGTGGCTTTATCTCCGACGTCGTCCTCCCCGCTGTCTCCTCGAATCCCAACAGCGACCTGTCCATCTCCCCCGCCTTCGACGACGGCTCCTCTCTTGGCAGCGAACTGCCCAGCCCATGGCGCGGAGACCAGCACACTCCTCGCCCCGAATCCTGCACTGTCTTCTCGACGGTCGACGCGGCCACGATGGTCTTCGTCATCTTCTTTGACGGCAACCGCTTTGACCTGTTCTCCGGCGAGTGCTCCACTTCTTTCTTCTCATCGATCGCTGTATCGGTTGGATTCCTCGCCGACTGCGACGCCCCGTAACCGCTTTGTGTTGCTGGCAGAGAAACCCGGCGAGCCTGCCTTGCCAACCTTACCTCCGAACCCGTGGCTGTCCGAATCATAGGCTTCTTCTCCAACTCGTTTTGTCCGGCAGTCGCAGTGCCGAGCTCTGCCAGCAATGAGCGAATTTCCCGATCTTGTGCGACGATCCTGTTCGTGGCGGCATTTGACTCTGCGTCGATCGACGCCAACTCCTCTTTGAGTCGAGAGTTGGTGACGTGAGGCTCAGCTGAGCTCAATCCAGACTCCCCTATCCTGGCCGTTTGGATTTCGGCCGTTGCAGTGGTCGGTTTGGCCTCACCGAGCCCAACTGGTGGCTTCAAGTACCTTCTCGAACTTGGCAACGACTCCACCGCGATGCGGCCTCCTTCGCCCGGTCGCACCTTCTTTTTCCTAAATCTCCAGTTCGCTGGCCGATTTGGCGTTGCTATACTCCCTGCAATTTCATCTTTGGGTTCCTTCTCAAAGACAAATGTCTTCTCTTTGCTTGGAAAAGAAGCAGAGGGAGCCAAATGTCTTCTCTTTTCTTGTTCAGGGGTGATTGTCCTCTCCTTGTCGGGAACAAGGACGAAAGAGGCAAGACCTCCTTCCTCTTCGGTCACGGCCACGAAAGGAACCTCGACAGCCTTGTTTCGTTTCTTCTCCCTGGATGGTTGTCCAACCGCTGCAAACTGTGTTGGTGGTGAAGCCACAATGGTGGTGGTTGGTTGTGACGGGAGCTGCTGCCCATCTTGAATCTCGACATCTGGATCTCCGTCTTCGACAATAGCTGAAAGGAGTACGGTGGCGAATTCAGTTGCCAGTGCTGGTGGTGACTTAGTCACCTTTGCCTCGTCGGCTGCCTCATCACCTGCCATCGATGGCTGCTTCTTTGTTGCGTCATCGTCCGCCGCGGTGCGCGTCGAAGTTTGCTGCTCGTCGACCCAGTCAGCCTCTGCAGTACGCGGCCGCCTGGCGTCCGTGTCTGCCTTCCCGCGACGCAACCCGTACGCCTTCCAGTACTCCACGATCTGCCATAGTCGTTCCTGGTTCTGAGCCCACGTCAGCTCCGATATCTTCGTTGAACTCATTGGTAATCAATCTGGTAGGAAGCTGTCCCTGAGAGAGTTATGACGAACTCGCCTGTCGGAACCAGGCTCTAATACCAAATGTTGGAAACAAGTTTCTAACGGGTCTCTAGATCAGATATAGAGATTGAGAATTTAGGGTTTATAGAACAGAATTGGGGATTTAGGGATTTGAGAAGAGAATTTGGGGAAGAACAGAAGAGAATCGGCCTAAGCCTTTAGAGGGATTAAGGTCAAGAATTGAGAGGATTGGGATAGGAATTTAGGGAGATAATTCTTTATTAACTTCTGCTTAATATGACGAATGACCCAAAGTACATATATATAGGGAAATACTAAAAAACCCTAAGAATAAACCTAATTCTACTAGAAGACTACTAACCATAATAAGAAATATCCTAATAATAATTATAATAATAAATATATAAACCCGATATAAATCGATTTCTAACAGAGCGATCGGTCAACATCATGGACTCTAGTATCCAACGCTACAATGATTGAGATATGTAGTATTCAGGCAGGCATGCCTATATGTGATCCTAAAATGCTACTCCAGTGCTACATCTTGTCTTGGTCATGGAAACATGGAGTCGATTCAACCCGAAAAACCTATGAGATGTTCTCTCATTAGCCTGTCTATCAATTTCTAATTGGGTGGCAGTGATTGTTAAATGCAATCGATACCACCTTTCCATAGCATGTGTATTGACTCGAGAATCTGGAACTCGAAAAATACGATGGTCTTTCAATTATACCACATTTATTGTCTTCGCCAATTAAGTACCAAATTCATCTCAACGCATTCTCTTAACCTCGGTCTTAACTACCCTTCTCTTGCTTTATTTTTTTGCATTATAGGGAGGCTAAAAGCCAAGAAAAAGAAAATTACATGGAGGTGGGAAGAGGGGAAGAAGAAGTAGCAACCACCCTACGGGTACTGGTAATGCCCATCATGTCGTCTCTGATCAGCGAGTTAATTCCTGGAGGCGGGCTCGTTAACTCATGCATACCGTAGGGATAGACGAGACTGTGCTTCGAGAGCCAGTCCGCGACTCTATTCCCTTCCCGGTAAGTATGCGTTAGGCGAACCAGCCAGTCACGATTGAGCTTCCTGCGAATGGCGGAGAGGAGAGTAGCATACGGGTGAATCGGGTCATGTCTAGCCTCAATGAGCTGCAGCGCCAGCTGTGAGTCCGTCTGAATCTGAATAGCTCTTCCTCCGTGCTTCCAAGCGATATCAAGTCCGAAGGATATCCCCCAAAGCTCCGAGAGAATGGCCGTAGCAGTGCCGAGGTTGGCGACAAAGCCTGCAACCCAGTGTCCCATCTGGTCTCTTAAAACACCCCCAGCCCCTGCTGGCCCAGGATTGCCGTTGGAGGCTCCATCAGTATTCAGCATGATCCATCCCTCTGTCGGTGGCTTCCAACCCACCTCCTTCTCTACTCTGTCAGCTGGTCGATTCCCTTTGCAGGGAAGGAGGGGAGGGGCGAGCCAAGCATTGTGCCACATCTTTGTCTTAGCCAAAATCGAGTGCTCCAGAGAGGGCGGGGTGAGAGCGGCTCCAGAACCCTGCATACAGAGAACACAACGGTTTTTCCAAATAAGCCAGAGCGCCGTACTAAAGAAAGCAGGCCAAGTCATCCCTGTCGCCACCGTATCCGTCCTCAGGAGATTGCTACTCAGCCAATCTCCCTGATCGAGAGTGAAGAAATCCTGCTGATGCAAGCCCGCGGTCTGCCGGAGCCAGAAGAAGGTAGCTGGGGGACAATCTCTGAGAGTGTGCAGAATCGTCTCTGGTGACCCCGGGCACCTCGGACAGCAAGGGCTCGCCGCTACTTTCCTGTGAAAACGCAGACTGTTAGTGGCAATTTTCCCGGTGCACGTTTGCCACATGAAGACTCGGACCCTCTCCGGCACTGGAAGGCGCCAGATCGTCCTCCACAGCTTCTCGTCCGGGTCTTGCGGCTGCGGAGTGATGAGGTTGAAGGCCGACTTGGTTGAGAATTTCCCGTCTGGGGAGGCAGTCCAGAAGAGAGTATCCTCCTCACTGGAAAGAGTGTCAACCGCCACACTGAGAATCTTCTGGCAAATCTCGGTTGGCAGAAGGGCCTCAAACATGTCGGTGCGCCACGTTCCATCAGCTGTCACATAATCAGCCACTGTCATTTGCTCCACATCCTCAGCTATATGCATAGTGGCCACCTCCTTCAGGCTCCCCTGCAAAACCCAAGGATCCAACCAAAACTTAGTGCGCTTACCATTCTTAATGTTCCAAGCACACCCCTGCTTTAACACATCAACAGCTTTAGAAAAACTTTTCCAGGTAAAGGAACTTCCCTGAGAATTGCCAAGAATATCAAGGTTCTCCCTCTGACGCCCATACTTGGCGTGCATGATCTGAGACCAGAGAGTCTCCTTCTCTTTGATGAGCCGCCATCCCCCTTTAGCCAACATGGCCAGGTTGGCCTGTCTGGTAGGGCGGATGCCCACACCGCCATGCTTCTTTGGCACTGTCATTTTATCCCAAGCCACCAGGTGCATCTTGTTCTTATTCTCCTCCTCCGCCCAGACAAAGTCCCTGTTCATCTTATCGATACTGTGACACACCCCACTCGGAATCAGCTCAGAATTCATGTAATACACAGGTATAGAAGCGGAAACCGAATTAACCACTGTGATCCTCGCAGCAAAAGAGAGACGTCTAGCTTTCCAGGGCGCCAACTTCTTCTGGATGCGAAGGAGAAGGGGTTGGTATCTCTCCCTAGTCACACGCCCATGAATCGCCGGAATGCCCAAGTACTTGCCAAGCGCCATCTTCAGTGGGATATCGGCTAACTGGCTCATGTGGTTAGCTCTTCGGCGGCTGATGTTTGGGGAGACATAGAGGATGGACTTGTGATAGTTCACCCTCTGGCCAGAACTGTAGCAGAAGTCATCCAGAATCCGCTTGATGACCCTGATCTGACGAGTCTCAGCCTGCGCAAACAACAACAGATCGTCTGCAAAGAAAAGGTGAGTGAGAGGCGGGCCATCCTTGGACAGCCTAAGAGCTTTCCACTGACCATTAGAAACAGCTTCATCAATCAAATGGGAGAGGCGCTCCATGCAAAGAACAAAAAGGTAAGGGGATAAGGGGTCTCCCTGGCGAACTCCTCTAGTCGGGGTGAGAGGCTGGGAGAGCTGCCCATTCCACAGTATCTGCATCCTGTTTTGAGTAACACAGTGCATGATACCACTGATCCACGTGCTTGGGAGCCCGACCTCCTTCAGAGTGTCCCGAAGAAAGTCCCACCTTAACCTGTCGTACGCCTTTTCCAGATCGATCTTGAGGATGATACCTCCCCTCTTTCCTTTCTTCTTGTGGAGTGAGTGGAGCGCCTCCTGGACCACGATAATGTTATCCGTTGTCTGCCGGCCCGGAATAAAGCTGCTCTGGCGAGGGGAGATCAGACTCCTCATAATCGGCTTGAGTCTGCTAGTCATAGCCTTGGTGATCGCCTTCAGGCTGACGTTGTTGAGGGAGATCGGTCTGAGCTGGCTCACCACTTCAGGTCTTTCCACCTTGGGGATGAGCACAAGAGTCGACTCAGTGACCGCCTCGGGCAGAGTACCTGTCTCAAAAAACTTCATAGCCATGTCAATAAGGTTCCGCCCAACAGTCCTCCACATTTGCTGGTAAAAACAGGCCTGGAATCCGTCGGGGCCCGGAGCCTGAAATGGCTTCATGTCAAAGATGGCTCTATGAATATCCATGCCGGTGAAGGGCCGCAAGAGCTCAAGCAACTCAGTCTGGCTGAGACGGGGAAAAGCACCTTTGGGCATCTTGTCTTCATAATTATCCTCTTCCTGCATAGAAAGATCAGCAAAAAAATCAAAAACAAGAGAGGCCAGGGCTTGAGAGTCAGTCACCCAATTGCCTTGAGCATCCTGAAGAGCCTCAATCTTATTGCGACGCCTCCTGATGTTTACTTGCTGATGGAAGTAGCCCGTATTCCGCTCCCCGAACTGGACCCACTTCTCCCTGGAGCGTTGAAACCAGAGGAGCTCCTCTTGTTCCATGACTTGATCAAGTTCAGCCTCCAACTTGGAGTGCAGCTTAGCTAGCCCAGGGGAGAAGCAAACAGCTAAACGAGTCTCGATCCCTTTGATTCTGGCCAGAAGCCGCCTCTTCCGTTGCTGAACATTGCCAAAGACATTCTTATTCCAATCCTGGAGTTTCTCTGCCAATAAAGGTAACACAGTCTGTAAAGGTGTCTCCGGCTCCCAAGAGTTAGCAACAAAATCAAACAAATCGGAGTGGGTCAGCCAAGCTGCCTCAAACTTAAAAGGACGAGACAAAGTTGAGGGACTTCCCTGATTTGAGACAGTAGTTAAGATCGGATTATGATCCGACTGAAGCCTCGGGAGGTGGGTGACCGTCGTGTTGGGGAAACAGGAATTCCACCGGATGTTGCAGAAGCTTCTGTCCAGTCTGCTGGCCTTATAGGTTCTGTCCTCCTCACCCCTAGTCCAGGTAAAGGCAGGCCCAGAGAATCCTAGGTCGATGAGCTCAGCAGTATTGATCCGGTCATTAAAGATCCTGCATCTGCGAGTTGTGCTTGCTGTGGAAGGGCCTGTTTTCTCGTTCAGGGTGCGAATGGCATTAAAATCCCCCGTGAGGATCCAGGGAATGTTAATCCATTTGCTTTGGTTGATCAAGTTGTCCCATAGACTCTGCTGCTGGCTGTACTGGGGAGACGCATAGACGGCAGTCAGGATCCATGGCGGGCCGCTACCTCGAGAGACATGAAGCGAAATGTGCTGATGGCAGGCGGAGAGCAACTGAACCGAGAAGGCCCCTGCATCCCAGAATATCCAAATTCCCCCCCTCCGACCATCCGCATCCACTCTGATCGAGTTAGGATATCCAAGCCTGTCGCACACGGAATCCGCAGCTCTTCCGCTAACTTGGGGCTCAAGAAGAACAACAAAGTCTGGCCGCTGAACCTGCAGAGTCAACTTCAGGGCACGAAGGAACGATTTGCTACCTGCTCCACCAACATTCCAAGAGAAGACTTTCAAATTAAAATTAGAAATGGAAGACATTGATAAAGGCATAAAACAGAAGGAAAGAACAGAGGAAGGAGGGGAGGTCTAGTGGCTGCTGTCCGCCAATTCCGTCATCACGTCCTGGCGGTTTGAGGGAGAAGTCTCGCTGCTCCGAGCCACTGGGTTCCCATCGCCGAGCTCCCTGGCTCTCTGATTCTTTGCTTCCGTCCATGCCGATATCTCCTGAAGAGTTAGGGAAGCCATTCTGCTTTTGGATTTTGGCTTCCTGTCTTTAATTGGTGACCAGACTTGAAGAGGCTTCCTTGATTTGAGCTTCGCAGCGGGAGATTTGGCCTGTCTATCCTTGCCCAGTTTGGTCTTCTTGGTTCGCGATCTCGCCGATGGGGATTGAGTCTCCGCTTCGTCTTTGGAGGAAGGAGCTCTCGGCTGTATCTCAATTATTTGCAGGGAAGTACCATTTGGGCCATGCTTCTCGTGGACTAAAGGAGTGTGGGAGATTGGAAATGGGATCAGACTTGGGGAAGAGGGGCCCGTGTCCTTCTTGGAGCAATCAGCTTTGGGCTCGTCCCGGCCCACAGTAACTCCATTGCGGCTTGAAGACATGTCCGAAGGGCCTCCAGAAACTGAGGAAGGCCCTGCTCCATTTCTGTTTTTGTTCACGGGCCCAGGCCCAAGGAGGCCCGCCTCCAACCTAGGCTCAGAGCCCACTTTTTCTTTCCCCTTGCGAGAATCTCCACTGGCCCTAACTCCGCTCCTTCCTTTCTTGTCCTGGCCGCCGCTCTTGGTGTTCCGGGAAGAGATAATGGTGTCGTTGAGAGGTAGGTTTTCATCACCCTTGATCCCCGCTATTTCTTTCCCTGTTTTCCCTATATGGACGTTGGACGGGATCTCCGCCTTTCCTTTCACGGTGAGGTCGCGGGAATTACGCCGACTCTTCCGCGTCACCAACATCCAAGGGCCGAATCCCGGCTGTTCCTCCGTCGTCGCCGCCGGGGAGGCCTGCACCGCTTTCACCGGAGACGTCGTAGGATGAAGGAGGGGGCAAGCGGAGGAGACATGTCCGATTCTACCACACTCGAAGCAGGCCGCCGGTATGTTTTCGTACTCCACCGCCTGCCATTCGTCGTCGAGCCAGATCCTTGGAACCAGAGGTTTGCTCAGGTCCACCTCCACGGCCAGTCTTGCGAATTTAGCCCTCTGCTGGGTTAGGGTATGATAGTCAAGCTTTATCGTTCGCCCGATCAAGTTCCCCAGCATATGCAGGATTTCTTTGTGGTAGAGGTGGACTTTGAGTGCCGGTAGCTGCACCCATACGATCATCTTCTTCGTTTGGGGATCCGAAACCTTGAAATTGGGTGTCCATTGATGCACCACCAAATAGTGGTCATAGATGACCCAGGGGCCGTCTGTTAACGCGCGGAAATAGTCTTGCTCATTCGAAAGTTTCACCAGGAAACAATCATGGTCGAGGTCCATGGCTTCCAACGATCCAACTGGTCTCCAGAGCGACCGGAGGCGGGAACAGAGGGCGGCGAAGCCGATTTTGCATCCGAGGAGTTTCACGACGAGAGTGCGTTGCCATGGCTCGCATATCTTGTTCTTGAAAGACGCCGAGATTCTCAATGCCGGTTCCCCATTCCGTTCGCCCGGGATGAGGTCGTGTTCCCCGACAGGGGTCCACAGACTGGTAGTAGTTCTCTGAGCAGTCGCGTTGGAATGGCCCGCCACCGCACTAGCGTACGAGACCAGCGGTTGCGACACCACCGGTGAAGGGGGAACCTCAACTGCCATGTCCGTCGTTGGAGCAATTGTTCCGTTATTTGTCTGATCCGTGGAATCCGTCGAAGGGATGGCGATCGTGATTGCAGAGTCCGGAGGCCGTCCCGATGGAACAAGGGCCGGCGCCGGAAGAAAGCTGTCAGCTAGAGAGGTCGAGAGCATATTCAGTTCCAAATTATTATTCTACTTTGTAAATGAGTTGATGAATGATAGTTTAGGGTTTTCTCTTGCTTTATTTATCACCTTCACCTCGCATCCTCCTCTATCTCATGCATTGAAAATTAATTTCTATGGTATGATCCATGCAGTGTTCCTCAATTCTAGTTGTTCGGGATGCCAAATGATATATACATTTAACTCATGATAATGATAATTCTTACTCGTTGTTCGGGATGCCAAATGATATATACATTTAACTCATGATAATGATAATTCTTACTCGTAATTAGAGGAATTCTTAGCTTCTCGCAGTGCTTTGCAACATTATGTCATATGGTCCATCATTGTCTCATCAAGATGGCTGGGTGGTTGCTTTGCAGCTCAAGGATCAAACTATTCTTGTAGTTGCATAACTATTTGTGATTGCATTTATCTCATGAGGGTATCAATGATATCCTAGTTTTTTCAATCGGTGAATTAGTCTATGCATAAAACAACACAAAAGAATCTCTTTTTTTTAACTAGTTGAGTATTTTGTACCTTATCAACTCGAATTTTACTTTGCTCTATGTAAATGTAACATTTATTTACTCGATGTACCTATGGAAAATATGGATCTAGTTTGAAAAAAGAAAAGAAAGGATAAGTTCTCGTGCAAAGTCCCGGCAAATTGTTTATTTTGAGAAGAACAGAAATTCCTCTTGAGAAAACAATATAAAGAAAATAAAACGAAAGAGACACGAATTAATTTTTTAGATTTAAACAGGAGACGACCACCACGTCCCTTACAGCCGGCAGCCGCAAGCAGCCCTTCCTTCCTTCCTTCCGATCTCAAATCTCAAATCTCAATCTCACTATTCGCCAGCATCCCTCTATTACTCCTAGTCCTCTACCTCCGCCGCCGGGCACCGTCTCAAATTGGCAATACCCTCCTCCATTCCCTTCGACTCCTCTTCCTCTCGCCGGCTACCAACCGCATTCGGCCACCGTCACCTATCTCTTTTCGCTGTGTAAGTTCCCACTTCCCTTTTCTCTCTGCCATTACCCTTTTGCTCTTCTCTAGACAAGCATCTAGCTGAATAAATTGTCTTCTGCTGTCCTTGACTTTGTGATTAGCACTTGCTTAATTTGGAGCTTACAAGTTCACTCTTTTCAGTGCTCCTTTAGCTGGTCTAATCTTGGAAGAAATTGGAAACGGCCCTTTTCGTTTGTGGGATCAAGCTAGTCTTACAACATAGACTTGAGTTCGTTCATTAATAAAAAAAAGAAGAAATCAACGGAGTTGCTTTCGATTCACTCTAAGTTCAGTGGATCTCATGGTGAAATGGGGTGTAAAAGAAGCAAACTTTTGTTGATTGAAAATTGGGGAACTTCCTTCATTTATCCCCTCTTTGTATTTTTGTGGGCTAACCTCATTCACCGACTCCTGGGTTGTTTGTCTTTTGCTTAGTCTTAAAGCTCTCGTATGAATGCGTACATGTCTAGAATTGTAGCCATTAAGCTTTGTAACGTACATGACATAAGGTGTTTGCTATTGCAGCAAAGCTATGACATTGAGATGTTGGCTAGTTATTAGCTCTTTATGCATATTCGTGCTAGTATTTCTCCTTATTTGAGAATATGGTGTGTTGTCATTGTGTTTACTAGAATGAATGTGATTTCGTTTTCTGTTCTAGTTCCTTCACACATTTCTTCAATCGTTGTTTCGTGCAGAGCAAACTACCTAATTATCCAGTTTGATAACCGGTGGATAGCTCTCATTCGCATGATTCTCCAGCATATGCCCACCTTCCAACTTTCACTGCTTTTCCAAAGGTTCAGGCACCTATGCTCCATTCACCTTCAGAGCTGTAAAATCCACCGGAAACTGGGAATTTTCAGCTGACTAGTGCCACCTCGATGCCACAGTATCTGGCTAACATCCCTTTGCAGAAGCAGAAAAAGAAATCGAAGCAAGAGCCAGCACCAGCATTTGCAGTTAGTATTATGGGAGTGGAGAGACGTTGGCTTTTCATTCTTTTCTCTGCTGCATTCACTTCTCTACTGTTCCTGGTAGTTTACTCCGGCTCTGCTTTCAGCTTCTCCAAGCCCATACCTTCTGTTGTACGCCATGGCACCCACTACCCACCTTCTTTTGCTTATTACATTTCTGGCACCCGCGGGGATGGTGATAAGATGTTTAGGTTACTGCTTGCAGTCTATCACCCAAGAAACCGTTATTTGTTGCATTTGAGTGCTGATGCTTCAGATACGGAGAGAATGAGATTAGTTGCTGCTGTAAATGCAGTGCCTGCAGTAAGTAGTTTTGGGAATGTTGATGTCCTGGGAAAGCCAAATCGCCTCAGTTATATGGGGTCTTCTCATATCGCATCCATATTGCGTGCTGCGGCCATTTTGTTGAGGTTGGATTCTGGGTGGAGCTGGTTCGTGGTATTAAGTGCAGTGGATTATCCTCTGGTGACACAGGACGGTATGTTTGCTTCGGTAATTCTCTACTAAAGTGATATTTTTGCTATTGCTTGGTTTAGCAGGCATTTTTGTTCAATTGTTCACTTTGGTGATTGTTCTGTTTCCTCTTTTACAAATACAATAAACTCGAGATTTAGATGAGAGTGTTGGTTTATCCTTCACCAACCAATTAGCATCTGGGGCATTTTTCGGTGGTATCTCACAGGATTAGATGTGTATTGTTGGCTTTGGGGGAAGCTAGAAGTATTGTAGGAGTTTGAGTACCGGTTCTAGTTCGTTTCTTCCATCTGCTAATTGGATTGCGACGCAATTGCTTGTGCAGCTGTATATTTTGACCATGTTAAGTGGCTTGGATTCTCCTACATGGAGCTTGGGGTTTTGAAAATTTGCTCAAATTTTACTCGATTATAGAAGGCGTTTGGTTGGCTAGTTTACTTACTTCATGGAGCTCTTTATACTCCTTATGCATCCAGGAACCTAAAGTATTTGGTGCAAGATGGCTATGTGATTAATATGCACCAGTTTATGAAGTATAAAGGTACTTACTGCTGGTGCTATTAGGTGAATGCTGCAGTTTTGTGTGAAATTAGGATTTGATCAAGCAAACTCTGGTAATAGTTAGCCTACACATGTTGGATCCTGTGCAGCAGATAATTTTTGTTCTTGTTGGGCGTGCGAGAGCAAATGTCTTCCATGCAGTGCTGCTGACCATTAACCTATTAGAAGATCTATTATCTCTCAGCTTTTCTGAAAGTGGAGCTCTGGTTACTAGTTCAGCTGTGACTTAATAGGTTGTTGTTATAAAATCTATGCACTGATACCAGAAGTGACATTTGTTTTGGGTGGCTGACTCTGAGAGAAAAAGAAGCAACCTTTCCTTTCATGTTCAGGAGGGAGCAGGTGCAAACACGAACCAAAGTGATAATATTTTTGTATTTTTTTGGTAAAATAATATTTTTGTAGTTGAAGGTAGATAGTGGACTCTGATAGTTCTGAGAAATCTTGCAAGTTAGTTGTAGGCTGTATGATCAAAGTCACCCTAAGACAATGCTGAGTGATCTATCAATGATGATCCCCTGAAATGGGTCAGCATGTAGATCTGAGAATTTGGTTCAATCCACATTAAGGGACACAGACCTTCAACTCTGTTTTATTTCAAACTAATCATGCTTAGGCCAATAAACTATAGTGAACTTTTTGCTTTATATTCCTCTGTTTGATGCCAATATGGTGCTATTGGCGGAACTACACCAGTCAGCTTCCACAAAAGCTTTGGAATCTGGATTGTTTAATGTTTTATGACATTTGATAAAAGCCACTAATGTTTGCTCATGAATTACATGCATTTGCTTGTGCCTGACTTTAACTGGTAATCTTATTTTTCGTAGTTACAACACTGACGATTTTCATGCGATCTGGTGTTTCGTTTGATTCCTAGTATATTAGTTTTCCTTGTGTGCCATGATTTTGTGTACTTCTTGTGCAATCATTTCTGTCAGTGACACAGCAAAAAAGCCCTATGAGACGATGCACTTTACTCTGTCATAACCTTAATGTGATTATTGGTTTGTTTCAACTACAATTCTTGCAGATTTATCGCATGTGTTCGCATCTGTTAGCAGGGACATCAATTTCATCGATCACACCAGTGACCTTGGATGGAAAGAGTAGGCTGCCCCATCCACATTTTGATAATATATTTGTTTGTATAAGTCCAGGTAAAATCTAAATACATTTGGTTAACAATTCTGATGTAGATCTCAAAGGTTCCAGCCCATTGTAGTTGATCCAGGGATTTATCTTGCACGAAGAACCCAGATCTTTTATGCTACAGAGAAGCGGACATTACCAGATGCTTTTAAAATATTCACTGGCAAGTTTATACTCTTGAAGCGACTTAACCATACATGTGTAGTAGTTTGCATCTTTGCTTAAAACTAGTTCATTTACTAGAGAGTTACGATTTTCAAAATTGCAGGTTCCCCATGGGTCATCTTGAGTCGATCATTCATGGAGTACTGCATTCTCGGTTGGGACAGCCTTCCACGTGTCCTCCTCATGTATTTCAACAACGTGGTTTTATCTGAAGAGAGCTACTTCCAAACGGTCGTATGCAATGCACCAGAATTCAAGAACACCACTGTAAATAACAACCTGCGATTCATGGTGTGGGACAATCCTCCCAAGATGGAACCCCATTTTCTCAACAACTCGGATTACGATCTTTTATCCCAGAGCGGAGCAGCTTTCGCGCGGCAGTTTCGGAACGATGATTCTGTCCTTGGCATGATCGACGAGAAGATCCTCAGACGTGGTCGTAATCGAGTTGTACCAGGTGCGTGGTGCTCAGGTCGATCGAGCTGGTGGTCCGACCCTTGCTCCGAGTGGGGGGATGTGAATCTCGTGAAGCCGGGACCTCAGGCTAAAAAATTTGAAGACACCATCTCAAATCTTCGTGATGAATGGAGTTCACAGATGAATCAGTGCAAAGATAGTGCATCATAAGTAATCCATCGATCAGTTTGCCTGTTGGTTTGCTTGGTGCAAGTATTTTTGCATCTGAATTTTGTCGAAAAGGAATCCCTTACAGTTCATTATTTCCTGGCGATCTCTGCTCATGGAAGTGTTAATCAAGAATTACTAGGCAAGAGTGGCAGAGTTGATTAGGGTTGGGAGGAAAGCAAGGGAATTTCACAGGGTACAACTTTTGGGTAGCCAGTGTTTGGGATGATGCAGCCTGCAATAACAGTGAAATTCCATATTATAGAGCTGCAATTACATTGCTCTGTTGTTGATTTGTTGAACATTCTGTTCTTTCGTCTCTCCCTTCAAATTGTAACACAAAGTACATTCCTTCAAAATTTTCATCCAATGCTTGTATCTGTCTATCAGAGGGTAATCCAATGCCACACCAGCAGAACTTCAGCAAAAGCTAATAGTGTAAAGCATATTATTGAATCCCAGAAACCAGAATCACCAGAGAAAATGACAATAAAGAAACCACGGAATCTAATAGTCCTCTGAAACTGTTAAAACTAGATTAATTACAGACCAAAACCATGGAATGAAACTAACAAGAAACCACTAAAGAACAACTCCCAGAGGCTAAGAACCCAGAAGAAGCCATCATAGGCCCTCTTGTTTCCAGCACTAGTAGCCTGTTTCCCCTGATCACCACCACTAATAGCCCCCACCACATTTGGATCTCCCCCTGCAAAAACCACAGCAAACCCAAGTAATCTAATTACTTACTCCTTCCTTACCAGTAACATGATCTGAAACTAAAAAAACCAGCATGTCAATTACCAGCTGGAGCAGGGCCAGGGCTAGGGCCAGTCATCCCTTTGGAGCCCTTGTTCCCAAGTTGATAGAACACTTGGGCATCCGGCGAGTTTGGAGGCAAATGCAGCAACTCTGCAAAAGAATCCAACTTTCTCTCAGTCAAAATCAAATTCAAGCCAACTGAACAAAAAAGGGTGGAAAAAGCTCAAATGGGTTCATCACAAACAAGAGAAAAAAGACAGACCAGGGCACTTGGAGATATTGGCAGCCGAGGCAGAGTTGCAGACTGCAGGCAGAGACATGGCCAGAGTGAGGTTGATGTGGAGGCCCAGCTGAGGGTCGTCCCTGTCCTTGATAACAACACACAAGCACTTCTTGTTGGTGTTGAGAAGCTGCTTCAGCCCGCCGCAGCAATCTGGCGTCGGAGATTTCGCCGTGCCTCCAACGTACGGCAGGCAAGTAGCCAGCCCTGCTAGCTGCTCTGCACATTCCTCTATTTCCTTCTCCGACGACGAACTCCCGCCGCCGCCGGACGAGGGAGCGGCCGAGACCACAGTGCTGGCGTATCCGCTGCAGAGTAAGAACACCATCGCCAGCAACAACATTTCGTTGATTCTCATCTTCACGATGGAAGTCGGATTATTCTACACAGACCCTGTAAATTTGAGCAGTATACAGAGTGGGGCGAGACTTAAGAGTGTTTGTATAAAAGACATGGGTATGTATATATATATGGTCAGTGTGGTGAAGTGACTATGGACAGAAGGAATGATGAAAACTGGGAAATGGGTCGATTCAACAACCCCACTAGCTCACTAAGTGGGCGCATGGCAATGATGCTATGGGCTACTGAGAGCTTCATTTTTGTAAACTTGTAAAGCTGTATGGAGGCCTACAACAGATGGGCGGTCTCCCGCACTCGGGCGCCTGCTTCTTATTATAGTTTCCATTCCCATTGCCGTTCCCATTGGCTTTTTTGTGTTTGTTTGTGGAGACTGGACTCTGGAGTGGTATTTCCTTTTGGTTGCTTTGGCAACGATGACGCTTAGATGACTGCACCATGGAAATTCACTGCCTAATCCCTTCTGGTGCCTCGTCCTCTTCTGGGCCTTTTCTTGTCATTGGGCTGCTATTTCAGTTCGTTACAGTCCGGGCTTCTTTAACGAACGTCAGCCTGTTTCTTATCAGCTTGTATTTCCTTCGGCCCATACTCATGCCGTCAACGGGTTGTCACGGGGTGGGAATTTGGTTGCGGTTAAACTGCTAACCGCACCGAAACTGTGCGGTTAGTGGTTAACCGCAAACCGAAAAAATAGGGTATTTTGCGATCGCGGTTAGCAATATTGCATGTTTTGCGGTTTGCGGGTTAACCGCAACCACAACCGAATAACATGTAACCGCATTTTAACCGATTACTAACGCGGTTACCAACAGTTAATCGCACTAACCGTGGTTAATTGCACTAACCACACTAACCTCTGTCACAACCATAGACCAAAATGTCTCCAAACCATAAGTATGGTTAGCAACATGGTTAACCGCAAACCGCTTACGGTGCGGTCGCGGTTGGTGTATATTGCTCCATTTCGATTGCGGTTAACCGCAAATTTCGGTGCGGTTAACCGCAACCGCACCGATTCCCAGCCCTAGGGTTGTGCAGCAGTGAAGTGAATGCCAACGGTAGGTGCCTTCTCCAGTTAGTTCGGATTTTTTCATACCCATACCCACAGTTGTATCGAAAATCAAAACCATATTCATACTCGTTTGGGTTTCCTGTATATATGATTATCTATGGAGATGATATTTCGTTATAACTCCAACCAATATGTTAATATTCACACGTGTATACTCACATTACATAAGAGGAAAAATACGACAATGAATCACTGGAATAAATAAAAATAATTTAAAACAACCAGATTTCATGAAAATAATGGATCATTTCTAGAGAAAATACATACTAATGTGTATAATCGAGTGGTTTTAGGTCGGATAGTGAGAAAACTATGTCCACTCATTTGTAATCGAAACGGAGAATCGAAACAAAGAACAAGATCGAAACGGAACACGACACAAGATTTAATGAGGTTTCCTTGCTCGGTATGAGCAAGATTATTAAATGACAGGAAACAGAGTCTCGTATATTCATATGCTCAACAATTACATGCATACCCAAACATATATACTCGACATACCATAACCCTAGTTAGATCGAGTTCCTCAAGCTACATATGGGCCTAGGATATGTGCATGGGCCGAATCCCATAACTCAATAGTCTCCCCCAAATTGATGAAAATTTCTCATCATCAATTAGCCAGCAAGATAAGAGTGTCGCTCGCAGAAAATGCTTTAGTCAACAAGTCTGCAATCTGGTGTTTGGATGTAACATAAGCAAGTCTAATAGTCCCAGCATTAACCAGATCTCGAATATAGTGACGATGCACCTCAATGTGCTTTGTCCTGTCATGAATAACTGGATTAGTTGCAATCTGGATCGCACTAGTGTTGTCGACATATAGCTGCACAGGGAGCTGAGAAACGACACCCAAGTCACCAAAGAGTCATTGAAGCCACTCTAGCTCCGATGTCACGTCAGACATAACACGATATTCTGCCTCTGTAGAAGACTTGGAGACAGTGGCAGACCCAGAAATTTTTGTATCGGTGTCCCTTTTAATAATTAAATTAAATTAATAATAAGCTAAAAACTTACTTACTTAAGAAAATATATGACTAGTACAGGTTACAACAAAACCTAGGATTTTAAAACGTACTGGAGGTTGTATCGGAAAAGTTAGCAGTAGGGTATTTTAGGACGAAATCGTTGTTTAACCGTTTCATAGCGCTAAAAACAGCCTATTTTTTTGTAGAAAAAAAACCGCCTATTTGTTTAGCCTTGCGAAGAAGATTTTTCAGGTCAAACTGCTGGTATGTTACGGTTTTTATATCCTTAACTTACTGTACGCATGTCGAGTTTTGTTATTTTAGACCATGATACTATACTCTAACCTCTAATTGATGAACCCTCGTCCCCAACTCTCTAACCCAAATCATAAGATTTATTTAATCTTAAAATGAAAATCAACGGTTGTGATTCGTCAAAATTATCAAAGTACAAAAAATAGGTGTGAACGCAGGCGTACAACGTTGTCCTGGCGTACGCTAGCCTTTGTCATATGTATGTATGTATCATACTAGACAATCATTCACGAATTGAGCGCTTATTCGATTCCGAACCATGTTCTTGACGTAACTCAAAGCTGAAAAATCTCTCTCGACACTTGGAGTTACAACCAGTAAAATTAATACAACTTTGAGAAGCAAATATACCCATGAATATGTTAGATTCAATTTTTTCTCCGCCATCAACTCAACTAATTTAATCTACAAAATAACTCATTATTTTTAACAAATGATAACAATTCTTAAAATCATGTACAAGAATATAATTATAAATATTACCAAACTCTTCATAATAAAATTGTATTAGAAATTAGAAGACAACGGAATTAGGGACAGTTCGTGGGTTCCCTTTTAGTCTTTGAAAAAATTGAGGATAAGAGTTACGCGTTTATAATTACATTTATGACAAAATCACAACTAACAAAATGTAGTAAAATAGAAAAGACGTTGATTAATAACTACAGTGTTATACATTCAAATCACATATACTACCATTTTTTTCTCTTTTTCTCCATACTCAAACTACTATCAATGGTTTGTTAATTTTTCTCCCAAATTTTAGGGGTGTCCTGGGATACCCCTAGGCTTCACCTGGGTCCGCCCCTGCTTGGAGACTCTATCTTGCTTCTTACAGCGCCACGATATGAATGAGTCGCTCCTGCTTCTTATTTTTCCTCTTCTTTAGGCGAGATAGAATGAATGAATCTTCCTTCTCCCCGAGATAGATTGTTCATTTAGAAGTAGAGAGGGAATCGGTCAAAGATAGCTGCCCCATCTACAGTTGTTACCCAAGTAGCTTAACCTGTGTGAGTAGTTTCATTCTGGAGATCAATTGATCAATATGAATCTCGAGAGTGAATGGTTGACCGCCGTCCCTTTGTCCTAGAGGCTCTCAAGCCGGTGAGGGGCTTGCTATCTACATCACGGAAGAGCTGCGGTACTTCGTAGCTTGTCTTTCTTTGATAAGTAAAAAGTGACGTGACGTGTAGTGAGCTTTCTAATGGAAAGGCAAACTTGAAACTGACTTACAACTTGCTTTGCTCTGGACGGAGCTTCCTAAGTCAGACCAACTCGGCTACCGAATCGTCTGAATGGAATGTTTTTGACTTAAGGATGTATTATTCCGCTTCGTTAATAAGGCAACTCTAACATAATAGAAAGAAACAACAAGCTCTCTGCTATATTTGCTAGCAGTGTTATACCTATCAAAAGCCTCTTGACTGAAGCGCCAACCTCCCTCGAATTTCCCCTTTCTCTAATGCACATATTGAGATTGAGCTTGCTTGCATCTTATCTAAGCCTATCTATTCCTCCAAGTGCCTTTCTATTGCGCTTGCCATTAACTCATGTTTACCTTCCTTACTGAAAAGTAATATGCTGATTAGATTAAAGGGAGGATATATCTTGAATAAAAGTAAATTTCATATTGAATTCAAAATAGATTGTGCCAATAAAAGAGATAGAAGAGCATTACAGCCATGAAATTTCTATAGCTGAAAATAGCTAGGCCAATTTCGAGTTCAATGGCTAACTCACAGACAGGATTGAATTAAAAATATCGAGAACGAGAAGCTCCAAGACGAGTGTTTGCTTGGTCTTTTCTGGGAGCACCCGCCTGCTCCCGATTCGAAGGTCATAGGAAGAGTCATGCAACTTGTCCCCCACCTTTTCAGTACCAAAAGAAAACAGTTAAAGCATCCCTTTCTGCAGCTCCTGGAATAGCTGAATAATCTGGAGTTGCTCACTTTCTGTTTGAAGTATTTAATTTTGTGTAAGAGCCCAAAAGGGAATCAATTAGTTTCCCAGCTAACAAGGAAGCGGTATTTAAAATAGAGCTAAATTCTAAACTGGACCGAGATAGCCTATACACCAATTGACCGACATTACTAGTTCGAGAGGACAGGCATAGGCAAAAACTTACCAAAAGGATCGACAGGAATGGCAGGGGGATCAACATTGAGCTTGTGTGTGAGTGATAGTTGATAGCTCGTGTGTCGATTCCGGGCATATCCGAGGGCTCGTGATTGGTAATGGCATAACCAGAAGAGTAGTAGGGGAGATAAGGTTACGCGTTGGGTAATGCAGCACATCTGTTTTGGGTACAGAGGGCTAGCTCTGGGCCACAACTCTGTCGGAACAGACCTATGGGTTAAGGGCTACTCACATGCCACGTCGTGCCTCTTTATTAGGAAGCTTCGCGACATGACTTCAGTTTAGAAAGTCAGGGTTATGGCTATCTTTCACTTGCTCACTTGGGCGTAATACTCATCCCTTCTCAACGCTTTAATCTGGTAAAGAAGAAGAAAGAAGATTCAAGTCTCAATTCCGTATATTGATCATAGTTCGTACGCCTCACATTCAATTGCTTGGGGTTGGGGTGTAGAGCAGTAAGCGAAATGGGGGGTAACAGAGGACGTGCTCGTACGGTTCATAGAAGGATATGATCCACTGCACATCACATTCCTACTTTCATAGGAATATAATGGATTGGCAAATATTCGACCAAAAAAGTGGAGCACCAAGACGAATGCACCAAGTTGTAGTGGGACGCCTAGTATCCACACATCCAGCATATTCTGCATCAGAAAACACCTGAAGCTGAAAAGTACCTGTCGATGGGATAAATAGCCCAATGTCCTTAGTCCCTTGAAGATAACGAAGGAGGCGATAAACTGCATCAAGATGAGAAGTCCGAGGAGCAGATATATATTGACTAACAATCTGCACAACATAGATAATGTCAGGCCGAGTCGAGGTCAAATAGATCAAAGACCGCACAATACTTCGATACTACTTTCCCCTGTCTGGTAACAAGTCGTTAGAGGCCCTCTCCAGCATCAAATTGACCTCCATGGAGGTCAAAACTGGAGTAACAATTGTGAAAATTCGTCCGAATACGAACAGAACGGGTAAAGTAAAATCCCTTTCTGCTTTCGAACTAGATTCCATCCCCACTTTCCATTATTTTAAATCACCCCATCGGCAGAGAACAAGCCACAGCAATAGCTTTCGGTAAAGCTTTAATTAGATGCCATCTGTCTCAGAAAGGACAGAATTCAGGAATTGATAAAATCAATGGATTTCACTAAGATCGGCCCCCTTTTCCCCAATACCATTCATTCCCCTTCTCATCTTTATCCTTCCTCCGCTCGTTTATCAACACCGCCAATCGCCGCATCACCACAAAATCGAAACCACCTGTAAAATCCGAGAGTCAGAGTAAGAGAGAAGAGAATCAATGGGAGTTGTGCTAATCGACGGCGCGACGGTCCGCGACTTCACGGAGGACGCGGCCCACTTCAACAAGAGCGTCGACGAAACCTTCGCCCTCCTCGACGCCAACAAGGACGGGGTGCTGTCCCGCTCGGAGCTCCGGCGGGCGTTCGAGACCCTCCGCCTGGTGGACAAGGACTTCGGCGTAGACACCCCCACCGGCCCCGAGGAGCTCACCAAGCTCTACGACTCCATCTTCGACAAGTTCGACGGCGACCGCAACGGCAAGGTGGATCTGGAGGAGTACCGGTCGGAGGTGAGGAAGATCCTGCTCGCCATCGCCGACGGGCTGGGTTCCAGCCCGATCCAGATGGCTCTGGAGGACGACGACCAGAGCTTCCTCAGGAAAGCCGCCGCGCTCGAAGCCTCCAAACTCGCCGCCGCCAGTTCTTAATTTTCCAACGTTTCTGTTTTGCAGTTTGCTTCACTACCCAATCGGATCCGCCGGTTGCTGTATCCTTGTAACTTTTTTTGTGGAATAAAAGTTCATGTGGCTGATTAGTAGAAACTGCCCTCGATCGACCAAATTGATTTTATGATCACTTTGCTTCACTACCCAATCGGATCCGCCGGTTACAAGAACGGATACCATTGCCAATTAGCTCATGTCCCAAGCTCAGGTTGTGGCTTACAATATCCAGCAACCAAACAGTAAGAGAGACGGCTTCTGGCCTCAGAAATGAATATATACAATCCGGCTAAGCCACACACGTCACACGAGTAGCCAGGGCCCCGGGTATTGACAGGTGTCAGTCGAGTCAGGGTCTTCTTGCCACGTTTTAATAATGTGGTCGCTATGGATCTGCCACAGCTACCACCCCAACAAATTTATCCAGAACAAGTAGAAAGCAATCTAGCTATTATAGGTGTCAATCGGGCGGGTTCGGGCTGGGTTCAATCGGGTTCGGGTTCAAACGGGTTGCGGGTTAGTCAGGTTGCGGGTTTATCGGGTTCGGGTTCATCGGGTTCAGGTTCAAACGGGTTGCGGGTTAGTCCGGTTGCGGGTTCATCGGGTTCGGATCAATCGGGTTGCGGGCAAATCGGGTTGCGGGTTCATCGGGTTTTGGGTCGGGCGGGTTGCGGCCGGGTCGGGTTTCGGGTTGTTCGGGCCAACGCATCAAGTAACTTAACTCATTACTCATTAACAACTTACACATTTTATTACAGTAATTTAAAATATTTTCTCAACTTTTTAACCAATTTATTTCTACCTCGTATATATATACTTTATTTTTTTGAAAAAAAACTAGTCAAAATGTTAAATCAATTTGTATGACTTGCAAACTTGTTATGTAATTAATCATAATTGGTAAAGTATTATAGCTAATAGTAATGGTGATATCAATATTTGCAACTAAAAGACACTGTTAATTGTTTATTTGATATTTTAGTATTAATTCAGTAGTAATTGGATTAAAGTATCTCATTTAGTATAACCATGCAAATCTGGTATTTGGCGTGTGGTATTTGGCGTGTGGTATTTGGCAAAAACATAGTGATAAAAGGAGTTATTTCAAAATAACTCATTGCCCAAATAACTTTAGTAAACTGTTGCCAAACGAGTTATTTGTAAAATTGTTCGAATTATCCTAAAAATTGAACCATTAAAGATTAGCTATCAAATTTAGTAAAATTATTGTGACTTCAATCATAACTTACTCAATAACATATATCCTATACACTTAGCTTTACCCTCAATCAACAATATTAAGTTAGTATATGTTGTTGATTGTATACCCTAAACCATCAATATATTATACACTAACCACATAACCTATACCCTAATCATATGTCCTTGAGTTGTGATTTTGCTAGTATAGTTAATTTAAAAGTGAAATTCATACTTTGATTTTCAAAACATAGATAAAAAGTGATATTTGCTAATTGTTATACCCTAACCATATATCCTATACTTTACACCACATACCTTGTACCCTAACCACATACCATAAACATAAATTAAAAAGGGATCTCCTGCCATTAAAGACTTCAAATGACTTCAAGTGAACATATGTTAATAAAAAACTTAGAACCGTCCAAACCATCAATATCTTATACCCTAACCATATACAAACCATATGTACCTTATACCTTATACCCTAACCATATACTTTATATCCTAAACAACGAACCGTCAAAGATTACTTATCAAGTTTAGTATAAATTGTTGTAACTAATGGTTAATTTATTTATTAGCCCATAAAAAATTACATACATATATACATTTTAGCCTTCAAAGCATATAAGAATAGTTTTAACTAGTCATGCCCTCCATATAAAAGTTAAAGATTCATATTTCAAAAGCTAAAATTATGAAAAATCAAAAAATTGAAAACACCAAATTTGTTTCCTTCTTACTTTTCACAAAAATACTAAAATTTCCCTCCTTTTTTCTCCTTCCATACATTAGAAAAACTCAATTTTCCCTTCTCTTTCTCTTCCATAAAATTGAAAGAACCAAATTACACTCTTCTTTCCTTCTACAAAAAGTTGAAAAGTCAAAAGTTTCCCTCCTTATTTCTCTTTCATAATCAAAAGAATCAAACTTTCCCACTTCTTTCTCTTCCCACATATCAAAACCACCAAAATTCCCACTTGTTTCTTTTCTAAAAAAATCAAAGAACCAAATTTCCCTCTTCTTTCTCTTCCCAAAAACTTGAATACACCAAAATTTCCCTCTTCTTTTAAAAACATCAAATTAACAAATACATTACTTTACTTTATTTATATTTAATTGATAATTTTATTGAATAGTTAAATTAACCAAAATTTTAATTTATATATTATATTAATATTGTCATGATCTCAAGTGACCTTCATGTTTCAATTTTTGTAATTTTCTTAAAATACGTAATATCAAGTGAGTTTCATATTTTTAAAATTTCTTATACGAAATGAAAAAATAATTTTACTTAAGTTTAGAATGAAAAACTTTATTTTGAAAAACTATATATTGTATATTTTTATAATTATTCAAATGGATTAGATGAAATTCGGGTTGAGTCGGTCGGGTTACGGGTTAGTCGGGTTCGGGTCAATCGGGTTCGGGTTAATCGGGTTGCAGGTCAGTCGGGTTGCGGGTCAATCGGGTTCGGGTTAATCGGGTTGCGGGTTAGTCGGGTTGCGGGTTAGTTGGGTTGCGGGTCAATCGGGTTGCGGGTCGGGCGGGTTACGGGTTGTTGACTTTTAGTCAATTCGGGTTGCGGGTCGGGTTGATCGGGCGGGTTAATCGGGTCGGGCTATGTTTTGACACCTATACTAGCTATGATGCTAGGGTTGCCTGAGTCGCTTGCGAGCGGTTTGGTGTTGGACTTGGAAAAAATTTATTTGAAACTCGATTCGTTTATTAACGAGTCAAGCATGGGCTAAGTTTTGTTCAGCTCGTGAAGTTCGCGAGTTATCTCGGCTCGGTGGCTTGTTGAGCTAAATTCGTGAGCTGGCTCGTGTGGAGCTTATGAAATGTCTCAACATTGTGGCTAGACAGCCAACTCTATTACCGACTTATGGGTGAATCGATCTATATCTTATGAGTCTAATTCATATGATTATTAAATTATATATCTCACCCTATATAATGTTTAACAAGTTGAGTATGTGAGAAAATATTTCTTATTTTGTATTTTTTTTTGAACAGCATGTATCATAGATTGCTTCGATTTTATGAAATAACATGATTTGGAGTAGTTAAAATTTAGGATTTTGCTACGGTGACATGCATGTCACCGTGACATGGACTTTTCGGTCGACCTAATCCAACATGCGGTTAGGGGTGGTATTCGGTTTTCCGGTTAGCGGTATAACCGGTAACCGGCGGTTACCGGTTATACCGATAACCGGAAAACTCGGTATACGGTAACATGATTTGGGTTACTCGGTATACCGAGTTATATCCGGTTAATAACCGGCGATTACCCGGTATACCGATAACCGGAACGCGCAGACTTCCCCACCCTAATTTCCCTGCAGCCCGCAAAGTAAAATTCTCAACCCTTCATTTTTTCCCCACTTTCTTCTTCCCCGACTCTCTCTCTCTCTCTCTCTCTGCAACCAACTCACTCTCTCTCTCTCTTCTCCCCCAACTACATGCGAACTCTTCCTTCTCTTCTCCCCATCTTCTTCCATAAGACCCTGATCATCTCTTCCTTCTCTTCTTCCCGTATTTCCCTAAGCCCCACCGCAGATCAAGGCTACCGCCGTCGTGACGCCTCGATTGGATACCGCCTCGCACCACCAAAGGGGCTACGTTGCTCACCGCTCGATTAGCCACTGTAGCCTGATCTGGAGCTTCGCCGCTGTTGCCGCCGCAACACCTCCGTCGATGACCGAATCCACAGTCAATGACTGCGTGCGCAAGGGTCTTGGATCTGGAGACTTGCCGTCGCCGCCGACCGAATCCCCAGTTAATGACTGTGTGCGCAAGGGTCTTGGATCTGGAGACTTGTTGTCGCCGCCGCCGCAGCACCTCCGCCGCCGACCGAATCCCCAGTCGATGACTGCATGCACAAGGAGATGGAGATCTGCTGCTCCACGCGCTGGATCTTCTGCTCTCCGTCCTCTGCAGAGAGTGGGGAAGAAACAAAGAGGGAAAGAAAAGGAAGGCCATATCGGGTTTTCGCATAACCGGAAAAGTAACCGTTACCGGAAATTCGGTAAGCTGGTTAACCGTCAGTTTCTCGGTACCGGTTGTCGGCAGCAAAAATTGGCATCTCGGTATACCGATAACCGGTAAATCGGTAACCGGTTATACCGATACCGACCGATTACCACCCCTACATGCGGTCAACCGAATGTACTAATTCATGTATGTGGGGTTCCGAGACGCGGTCGACCTCTTACATAATACGGTCGACCGCTTTGGTGGTCTAACAGAATGAAAGGTTGACCCAAATATCTCATAGGCCGACCCTTTTGCACCTAACAGGTCGACCGCATTATGAAGAGGTCGACCGCCTTCACACCGTATCCGTATTGGATATGGATTCCAACACCAGAAAGGTTCCACAATTGGATAAGGAAACGAATTGGGTCGACCCATTGACGTCCTAAATCTCTATAAATACGAATATAAGTCCCCTTCAACGCCTCCAAGTCTGAATTAGGTTTTTTTCCGATTAAGAGTCTTTGTGAAGAAGATTGTTTGCGGTTGCTGTTGTACGTGTTGGAAGTGGTCGACCAGGTCTAAGGTGCGCTCGACCTAATGTAGCATTCGCCGTCTTCTTTTATAATGCGTGATTTCCACCGGCTAATTTGATATATTGTTGGGTGCAGAATTCCATTCGGTCGACCGTGACGTCAACCAGGTCGACCTGACGAGACAATTCTGCGTATTTGAATTTAGGCCACAACACTTGGACCTCTGTACTTACGAGGTAACCCAATTGGTCGACCTAATGGGTTTCAAGGTCGACCTTTTCTGTTTTTTTGGTTATTCAACCTGAATGTCGACTTTGGCTTTGTTTGTATGACTATGTTGTGCTTGAAAAGGTCGACCGTGCCAGATATCTGGTCGACCTATCCTTTTTTCGGTTTAATTTTGAACTTAATTTTTGTTGTTAATTGTTATTTTCCTGCTGGATAGGTCGACCTAGGAATAATAGAAGTCGACCTTAATGGTTGTGGTAGTCACTATTTGTCTTCCAGGTCGACCTAATACTTTGTCAGTTCGACCACGTCTTTGTTTTTTGGTCAATTGTAGAAATTTGTAGTTGAATTATGTTTTAAATTTTTCTTTAAATTGTTTAGACGATGACGCATGATGAGAAACTGCATCAAGATTTGGGTGAAATCATGAAATTGTTGAAAGCCACACAAGAGAAGCTGGTGGTGTGTCAAACACAAGTCAATGACTTTCAGAAGTCCATGCGTGATAGAGTGGAGCAATTGTCAGTTCGACTGACAGATATGACTGGGATGATGCATGACGGGTTTGAGAGGCTAGAAGGTGCTATCAAAGATATAAGTGCAGAACGAATGGAGAATGGCGGAAGAAATGGTAAAGGAAAGAAATTTGACTTTGGTAAAGAGGAAGAAGACCATGATGACTCTGAAAATTGCTACCAGAGCATAGATGATTTATTGAAAGAGCACATTTTAAAGGTATCCAAGTATATTCATATGTGATTGAAGATATTAGTATTACTATCATTAGTGCTAATTTGTTTTGTTTATATGTTTGACAGAGTGAAACAACGAATGGCAGCAAGGGTTCCTCTCCTAAGTACAAGAGACCGCGATATGAAAGTGACTCCTACACCACTCCACAGAAGGATCAATTTGTAAGAAAAGGATTATTTAGTGATGATATCGATGAAGATGAATCTAAGAGTCCTTTCGAAAGCACGGGGTAAGTTTACGTTACATATTCATCTATAATGTGTGTTTGTGTTCATATGTTACTTTAATTTTAACTATGATTTGTAGGTCATGAAAGTGGAGGGTCTAGAAGGATTCACCAAAAATCTTCAAAATCCAGTTGAAGAGTTGTATTATGTTGTTACTAAAGAGAAGGCTGGGGACAAGAATTGGGACAAGTAAGACGTTTTTTAGTACTTGTGGTCGACCGTTTAGGTCATGAGGTCGACCGTTTGTCCAATAAGGTCGACCGTGACTGTGAACAGGTTGACCTGTACGTTGCAAATCACAATTGACATTTATGTTATTTTGATTTTTGCAGTTTGACCGTTGTGGACTTTTTTTCTGAAAACGTGCAACGACATTATTTGAGTTCGGTCATTAGCGAGAATAGCTGGGTTTGCTCATTAGTAAGTACTATACTACTACGACTTTCGTATGAATTGTGCACTATTTATGTTACGATTTACGATGATTTTGTGTTTGATTGTTGGATGGTAGGTAGTGGATTTGTGTGCAAGGGCAATAACAATGTCTGAAAAACATGATGTGAAAGAGCCAAATGTGTGGTATTTGCCAAATATGTTTTCGGTAAGAGCCGTAATGTCAAATTATTTGTCATAACCTAGTTATTTATATTGTACCATGTCAATTCATCTCAACTAAAACATGGTACAGAAAATGGTACGCGCTAACATGAAGACCAGACAAATTTGTAACAAGTTGATGAATGATGGCGTGGTCTTTATGCCGAATGTCAGTGCATGCCAGAAGGTTAGTCTAGTCAATGTCCCTATATCATTAAATTTCGAAAGTGCATTTGTTTGTATTCGTTGTTTATAACATATAGTGAGTGTTTCATTGCTAGATATTTATGCGAGTTCTTGACGATGAAGCACGTCATTGGTTTCTGTATCTCGTCAATGCCCAGCAAAAAACTGCATTTTTGCTTGACAGTCTACCTTCAACTAGTGAGGCGAATCGTAGGCGTAAATCAGCACTATGCAAGAAATTGGTAAGTGTTTCCTATAATTTTCTGACTGTTAAGCGTCACGTATTATGCTAGAAGCTTAAAATATCCGTTATTTGTGTGTAGTTGTCCAATTTGGATGATATTTTCAAACCGGAGCGCATGAGCAATGTAGGAGTACCAAATTTTGGAGATTTCAATTTTGATGAGCTACGAGTTCAACGGCAAAGGAATAGTACTGAGTGTGGTGTGCACGTCATGCAGTGGATGCGCTATGGATCCAAGGATCTTGATAGAGTGGTGAGTATATCGTCAAACAAATAACTTGTTTAATTTACACTTTTTTTAGTTGTAACGAAATCTTACATGGCATGATGCAGATAGGAGAAGAACACAAATTACCGGCTTGAAAGGAGATTCTATGGTATCTGGCTACACATTTTGAAAATCGTGCACGAGAAAATCTTTTCAAGCATGTAGTAGATGAATGCATGGAACGAGGCAAAGAGATACAGAGTTCAAAAAAAAAGAAAAGAAATGAAGTCGTTAAGTTACAATGTTGCATTATTTGGACCATACATTGAATTTGTATTTGCGAGATCGTTTCATTTTGGATTTTGAATTTTTATCGTTTATTATATTTGTTATACAATTATGGATGTGACTGAATTTACGATTTCAATCGTCTAGAACAAGTGGTCGACCACATACTCAAAGCGGGCATACCCAAAGGCAGAGCACAGATAATACGGAAGATGAAGTGGTTGGGGATGATAATGAAACCGAGGGTGCTGAAGAAGAATTTATGGATGATGAAGAAGCTACTGAATATGAACAACAAATTCCTTCCATGGAGTTCCAAACATTAGAAGATGCAGAGAAATTTTACGATTCCTATGCTAAAGCGAAAGAATTTAGCGTTCGACGTAGAGATCTTCGGAGGAGTCGTCGAGGAGTAGCAATTGGGAGGAAAATGGTATGTTCGAGAGAGGGGACTAGAGATAAGACGCATATAGATAAAGAAGGTCGGACTCGACAACATCGTAAGATGACAAGACATTCTTGCAAGGCATCGTATACTGTACGCTTTGATCTGAATAAGAAAATGTGGGTTGTTTCTAAGTTTGAGAGGAAGCACTCACATCGTTGCTGCAATGAAGAAGAAACTCAATTCCTTCGGTCTCATCGAAATGTGAGTGAAGGAGACAAGGCTCTAGCGATAGGGATGCGACAGTCAGGAATAAAACAACGCAACATTGTTCAGTTCATGAAGAATAAAGTTGGAGGATATGAGAATCTGGGGTACACTCCAAAGGATTTGGACAATGCTGTTCAGCAATCTCGAACAGTTGACGACGATCTAATAGGAGATGTTAACCGAACATTGGGTTACTTGCAAAGTAAACATACCTCTGATGCGGGCAGCTTCTTCAAGTACACAACCAACGATGAAGGTGAATTAGGCAATCTCTTCTGGTCGGACTCCACATATAGAGCAGATTACCATTTTTTTGGGGATGTCTTGGCGTTCGATGCATGCTACAAGCGCAACAAGTACAATTGACCATTTGTTATGATGGTTGGTGTAAATCACCACCACCGTAACATCATATATGGTTTTGCCCAGTTGGATAATGAGACAATCCAACTATGTTTGGTTGTTGAATACTTTTCTGGAGTGTATGAACTCTAAGATGCCCACTTCAGTGATCACAGACGGAAACAAGTCTATGCGTGGTGCCATTGCTACTGTTCTGGTTGGAGTGCCTCACCGTCTTTGTATTTGGCATATTGAGACAAATGCGACAACGGCCGTTCATAATAAGGAGTTCGTTAGCGCATTCACTTACTTGGCAAAAGCACGAATATCGATTGAGGAGTTTGAGAGGCGTTGGGAGCATTTGATTAGTCAGCATGGTTTGTCTGCAAATAAGTGGTTGCAGGATTTGTACGCTGACAAATTACTGTGGGCAGAGGCATACTTGAAGGATATTTATTTCGGTGGACTCCAATCAACCTCGCGATGTGAGTCATGTAACCATTGGATAAATGGGTATGTGGGAACTCAATACAGCTTGCAACGTTTTGTTCAGGGCATTGATGAAGCACTGGAGGGGATGCGTTTCACGGAGGTGCAGGATGATTATAATTCTAGGCACACGAGGTTGGTCTGCAAGCATGCCCTTCGCACTTGGGAAATACAAGCTGAAAGTATCTACACTCATCATACATTTGCTATCTTCAAGTCTGAACTAGAGAATGAAGCTTCTTATGTATTAGCG